GTCGATCACACGGTGTACATGAAGTTCTGAACAGTAAGGGAGAGAGAGGTGGGCAGCAGGAGGGTTAGGGGGGGAAGGGGGGGGAGGGCTGGGAGCAACGGAGGAGGGGTACAGAGGGTGGGGGGGGACAGACAACCCTAGCGCTAGGCGGGGAAACCACCCACCCACCCACCCACCCACCCATCTACATACGGACTACTGTAATTTGCCGCTCTGCAGGGTTGTAACACTAAAGCCACCAACTGACCTGTACGGCACGGTTAAGCCGTTCGTTGCGTGTCTTCCGGTTGGCAGCCTTGAGGTCGGCGACAATGTGGCGAAAGAGCTGCTGCCGCAGGGCCTTATCCTGACACCTGAAGAGCCTGAAGAACAGCGGCAGCACCTCCATGGCCCCCACCTGGGCCCTATTCCGCAGCAGGATGAGGGCCCCCACCAATGTACGGCGCAGGACGGGGTCCAGCACCGTCTGGTGGGTGTCCAGCAGCGCGCACACCTCCCCGGCAAACCCAGTCATGGTCTTGGGGTAGGCGCGGGACACCTGGGGGGGGCCCGGTGAGGGGTGGGGTTGAGGGGGAGAGAGGTAAAGAGAGTTGGTAAGGCAGGCAAATGGGTACGTATGTAGGGATGTATGCATGTATGTATGTATGTATGTATGTGTGTGCGAGGGGCTGGTCTTTGTGCGTCGATAGAAGATGTGGACATTCCAGCTCCACCTGATGATGATGAGGAACTCCGTGCGCCTCTAACAACTGCTGTTGGCTGCTGCTGCTACTGCGCCACCGGGGGGAGCCTGCTGCTGCTGCTGCCGCTGCTGCTACTGCTGTTGGAAGACAACCCTCTCCACCTCCAAACCCCCCCTCGCAGCCGCGGCCGGTGTATATGTATTTTGCTTCTGCTACTGCTGTGTGGTTAACCCCCATGCAGCAGCAGCAGCAGCAGCAGCTACGGCGGCGGCGGCGGCGGAATTCCCGCCCAAGGGCTGAGGATGTGTTGCTGTTCGGCCGCTTTCGCCACCGCCGCCGCCAGCACTGCTTCTGCTATACGCTGCTTCTGCTGCAGCCGCCGCAACCGTGTTGTCTCTCTTTCTCTCCCTCCCTCTCTCTGCGCTGCTTAGTGTCAACTAATCGCACTAATGGCACTTCTCGCCCACAAAACTGTCCCCGCCGTCACTGGCCGTCACTGCTGTTTCAGTTGACGGACGGGGAACAGTTATAGAGGTCCCCTCCCACACGGCACCCATGCAGCACCGCCTTGCTGACCGCTTTCCATAGGGCCCACCAAATCTGCTCTCGCTCACATGCCGCACTCGCTCACACGAACAGCACCATCGCGGGGCTCCCCCAAGTTGTGCCATCAGGCGGGCCGTCGTCATAAACAGAACGCGCGGACGAAATGAAACGCGTAAACACACCCACGCATCCATATGAATAGCAAACTCCTCTTTATATACCGAACCCACGTCCCTTCAGGCCTTTTGGCCACCAAAGGCCTGAACCGATAAACCTGAAAGATGAGCCCCGAGCCCTTGTTTTGATCCAAAATTTAAATTCGAATTTAAATTCAACCTGAGATCAGGAAAATCCTCCTCCTTTTTTCCTCCTCGCCGCCCCGGTCAACCCTGGTCAAACCCCTACCTGCGCCATGAACATGACCAGATCGCCAAACTCCTTGCTCTCCTTGCTGGGCCGCAGCTTGAAGATGTCAAGGAGAGCTTGGTAGTGGCGATACTGCGGGAAGGAGGGCAGGTAAAGAGAGGGAGTAAAGCAGGTGAAGAAAGGGGCGAGGGAAGAGAAAAGGAAGGTCGGATACTTGTGGGGAATCTTACGGAGAGAGAACTGTGTGTGTGTGGGAGGGGGGAGAAATGCGGCAAGCCCAAATGGTTTGTATGTGCTTGTCGGCAGGTGGGTGCCCAGGGTACACAGGGTTCCGGAGCGAGCAGCTGCTTGAAGGTATGGGAAACGGGGAATAACCGCTATGATGATTGAAGGATGTGACGAAAGAAGAGGGAGGAATGTTTCAAAACTTGCATCGTTAAGCTTGGCTAAGAGTGTTACACGGGATTCGCTTTGCTGCGATGGACCCAAGGGCTAACGTCCCCTTCCGTAGCTTGACGGCCAAGCACAATATGGTCCATGTATCATACCTGTAGCATGAACTCATCTTTGTAGCCGTCGGGATCCTTCTTGATGTTGCTCTGTTGGCGGCGACGGCGGTTTGGTTCGTCAGTAATGCGTCGTAAAACCCGCCAACCCAAATAAAAACAACGTAGAAAATAATCCTGCAACTCCAGTTGCCAATCCCAGGCTCGCCTGTAGAGCAAGAAGGTCCGCACTCGTTGACATCTTAGGAAACCCTATGAATGAATTGTTTCTAAAGCATAGATGCCGAGACAGTTATGGTTTATCAGGATTTGTAAATGGAAATCAGTCTCTCTGTAAAGCAATAAGCAATTCACGTAGATTACGCTGTTCACAAGGATATGTTCCTGCGGGGTTCTTCCAGGAGTAAAAAGGGATAACGGGACAAAGTCAGCTGGTGTACGCAGTGAGCGACCGCAGCCCTGGTCAAGCTTCATGAGGGTCATTGCGCATGGTCATGTACGGCGTTCGGAAGTTAAGTCGTCTGTTTCCCTAACTGGTAACCGCAGCTGGGAAACGGCCATCAAGGAGCCGTGCAGCTGCTGCAATATACATTGCTTATTTCATCGACCCAGATGCCTGCTGATTATAGCTGAAACTCGCTTGTGTACCATTGCCCTGTGCCTTCAGAGCCACTCAGTTTCGGCCTTTTCCTCCACACGTTTACAAACGCACACACATTACAGCGGCTATCTGTTTGTGAAAGATAACGATCATCCCTCTAACTAATGGCGACGTTCACACCACGGCCCTACCAAGTAGTAGTATGGGGTGCATCAGGCTTTACTGGGCGACTCGTCTGCGAGCACATCGCGCGGGACTACCAAGTGAGGATATCTATAAACAGGACCCTTTACGTTACAAAAATTCTAATTTCCAATTTCCAACGATACTTGCTGGCGTTTTTCCAATGTAATGAAACGCGGACTCCACTCCTTCCATTAACATCCCTAATTAACCCTATTCTGGTTCTTTTAGGGTAAAATACGCTGGGCTATGGCGGGCCGCGATTCCAAGAAGCTGGAGCAAATCCGAACAGAGCTGTCTCGCATCAACCCGGCGGTGCAGGTGCGCGACCGTCCCAACACCCCCCACGGCTCTACCCAAGCAAACACAATTGGCCCACTCGTATTCACCAGAACATTCTCAGGGCCTTGGATGGCCAATATGCAACAGTTTCAACACCCTCCAGCCCTCCTAAGTCGCCCCAAACACACATGCAAAGCTTGTGGTCTGTGTGTAACCCTCCTCTTACTGCTTCCATTTCGCAAATGACCTCCATCCCCACCCCCCCTCGCCCCTCTCTGCTCTCGCCCCTTCTCGCAGGAAGTACCCATCCTGACAGCAGACGCCAACGATGTGACGGCGGTTGGAGCGGTTGTACGGCAGGCCGAGGTCGTACTTTCAACTGCTGGACCCTTTGCCCGGTATGGCGACAACGTGGTGGCTCAGGCGGTGGAACAGGCCACCCACTATGCTGACATCACTGGTGAGTTTCGGAGCTATTGGTTTCGGAGCTTTGCGGGCTTTGAGGGCCTCGGAATGCACTTTTCTTAAGGGGGAGAATGCAGAAAGATTTTGTAAACTGGATTTAGCTACCTAGGCCTACAAGTGGTTTGGATTTCGATATGACGTTTATTAACCGTTGATAAGTTCCCCAGCAGTGTGGCCGTTTTCCAGGGGTTTCCTTCCTCGCAAGAAGTTGATTAATTCCTAGCTGGCTAGTCGCTGAATACAAATAGGCTGTTGCTGTTGCTGCTGCTGTATTGTTGTTGGTGTTAATGTTGGTGTTAATGTTGCTGTTGCTGCTGTATTGATGTTGCTATTAATGTTGCTGTTGATGTCGTTGTTGCTACCCCCAGGAGAGGTCACCTGGGTTCGCCGCAGTATCCAGCGGCACCACGCGGCTGCAGCTGCCCGGGGTGTCAAGATACTGCACTGCTGCGGATACGACTCCGTGCCCTCGGACCTGGGGGCCTTCATGATGGTGGAGTACTGCAAGGAGAAGCTGGGATGGTGGGTGCAAACCGCACACACATCGCATGAGGGCGGCGGATGAAAGGTTCCGCTTTTTGTTGCTCCGGGGGGCCAGGGGGGGGGAGAGGAGAGAGGAATTCGGGTGCGGGCCGGCAACTGCTGCAAGGGCAATCGATTGTCCGGAAGGCAGTGGGGAGAGGGGGAGCTCCAGAGGGGGTGTTCTGGAATGCGGGTTCCTACGGGGTTGGATACCTGAATGAAGGGGGGAATGGACAGGGGGGAGGGGAGAGCGGGGAGAGCGGGACTATTGGCCCACTGTCTCATTACGTACGTCTAGGACGCGTCCTAGAGTCCGATCAGAGTCTCTGATCAGAGTTTTTAATAAAGGAATCCCCACATCGCCATCTGGAGGCAGGATCCACACTTAGGATTTCCCTTGCCTTCGTTGGCAGCCATTAACCTCTGTCCGAACAGCCATGTCCCGCTACCCAGAAAACATGGCCAGCCTGAAATCCCTCCTCCCCCTCCCCCTCCCCCCTGCCCCTCCTCCTCCCCCCTTGCCCCTTCTTCACCTCCTCCTTCACCTCCTCCTTCACCTCCTCCTTCACCTCCCACAACAACGGTAACGACAACAACCAACCAACCAACCAACCTGGCACAGCGGCGTGTCCCAGGTGTGCACTTTGGTGGGCCCGTCTCGCGCCGGGGTGAGCGGTGGCACCCTCGAGTCCGCTTTTAACTTGATCATGAACGAGAAGAGCTCGGAACTGGCGGCCGTGGCCTCGGACCAGTACTATTTGGCGTCGCTGCAGGGGTAGGTGCTTTGGGGGGTCTTAGAAACCAACCCCTGCGTTTATGTTTGTTAGTATTTTGAGTATTTTGAGTATTTTTAGTAATTTTAATAATTTTAGTATTTTTAAGTATTTTAAAGTATTTTTAGTATTTTTAAGCATTTACAGTGTTTCATTACGATTTGTTGTTAACTTAAAACGCGCATTTAATGACCTCTTGCGTACACCAGCTTTCACCCCTGTGGGTGGCATATTATTGTTCATTGTTTTCCGCTGCTGTGGGTGGGAATCGATCCGGCGGTGTGTAAGGGTTTGTTAGTAGTGAACCCCGTTAGTAGGAAGTAAGTTGTCGGTGAAGTTCCCGCGTATATGTACTAAGTGTCTGTCCATACGGCTCCCATGATGATGGTGCTGTATTGTCGTACCTCGTACGGTACGACACATAGGCTGCGTGGATCCGACAAGCCCGCCGGGATCCTGCCTCGTTACGTGGCCCCGGCGCGGGGCTGGGCGGGGCCCTTCGTGATGGAGGGGGTTAACGCCAAGATCGTCCAGGAGAGCAACGCGCTTTTCACGGCATCGTCGTACCCGTACGGAAAGGACTTCAAGTACTATGAGGGCGTGGCAGCGAGCGGGCTCGTGGGTGCGGGCCTTATCACCGCCGCCACTGCGCTTATTGGCGTCGTCGCCGGATTGCCGCCGCTGCGGGCCCTGGCGCGAAGGTAGGTGTCGTACAGGACGCCCGTGCTGCCGTACAGTTGTGCCAGCGAGACATGGAGGAGTGCAGCCCAACCCTGGCCCCAACGCTGGCCCAAGGAATTTGAATTTAAATGCGGCCGGATGTAGATCTATTCCTCCTTCCAGGATAGAACTGAAATCCCCAATTTATACAGACAAGGGGAATCCCTATATATCCCCTAGAAAAACACACACAATCCGTACATATACGCACATCCGTACATCCACATGTTCGATTACGCGGATTAGCCACTAAGCCCTCTCCCCATATTACATCATTCGCCTCAAACCCAACATGTACATATACCCAACATTATATGGCCGTGTTGCTCTGAAACCGCAAAATCACCACCGCTTGGACTCACTTGTTCCTTTCCCCCCACCTTGCGGTTGTATTTCCCGCTCTGAAACCGCCGTACACCTCAGGTTCCTTCCTGCGCCAGGTCAGGGCCCCAGCGAAGAGGTGCGCAAGTCCGGGTACTGGAGCCACGAGCTGGTTGCGTTGACAGAGGAGGAGCAGCCTCGGGTGGTCCGCGGCCGGTGCGAGGTGCGTGACTTCGCCTTCGTTCCTCCCTCCCTCTCCTGTCTCTCACCTCTCTTTTTCTCTCTCTCCCTCCCTCCCTCCCTCCCTCCCCTCTTTTTTCTGTTTTCTGAAATTCTGTTCAGTCTGCCAACCATACGTCGGCACCGTGTATGTTTTTCACATCTCTGCATTTGTAGCTATCTATCGTATCTACGGGACGTGGGTACGTGTGTACGTGGACTATCTGCGCGTCCCCTTTCTTTAAATCTTCTTGTTGCGGTGGCCACTTTGGTTCCGACAAGGGGGCCAGCAACGTCATCAGCCGTAGCTACGAACCTCAGCCCGAACCTCCCCCGGCTTTGCCTCCCCGTGGCCTCCCCTTCCAGACGGCATCTTCAACCGGTTCCCTCCTCTCCTCCACTTCGCCAAATAAAACCCTGCAAACTCCCCCTCATCCCACAAACTGCCCTCCTCCTCCTCCGTTTCCTCCTCCTCTTTCCTACTTGGCTTTCCCTGCTGCTGCTAGGACCGCCGCGACCCGGGTTACTGGTCAACCAGCCGCATGCTGTTGGAGACGGGGCTGGCGCTGGTGTTGGATGCGCCGCGACTGGCCGCGGACCCCCGACTGTCCCGCGGTGGGGTGTTGTCACCCGCTGCGGCCTGCGGGACTGTGTTGATTGAGCGGCTGCGGGCCGCGGGGTTCACGTTCGAGGTGACGGGCGTGGAGGGTGAGGAGGGGAAGAGACGAGCAGGGCAGTGAGCCGCCGCGACAGGGACGGAAGTAGAGTAAAACTGGAGGTGTGGGTAGAAAAGCGGTGCAGGACAGGAGGTATATCACTTGGGGAATGAGGGGAACGATTTTTGTGTCAGGTGTCAAGTGGATGGGGGAGGAAAGCTTTTTCTTGTTTTGGTTTGGTCTGTGTTATTTCGTGTTGCAAAAGAATGGTTATATTCTGTGTTGCTGGTGGTGTGGAGTTGGTGTAATGCGGTAATTACTTGCTTACTTCCGGTCAACCTGCGATGTTTTTTTTTATCACAAGACCTAACAAGTTTAAAAACGTCAGGACACGAAGCGTTGGCATTCAAAAGTGTTTGTCCTGTTATATTTGGTTGCCGATGAAAACGATATCATGATAGCCTCATGAGACTAATAAGAATATAAAAATTAATAATTGTCACGTATGTAGTAGTGATGTTGGAACTTCACACATGCGCCGCCTCCTTGCATTCAAATCCCATGATCGACCTCTTATGCCCCCTCTTATGGCTGCTGCTAAGCCACACGCTCTGGGGCCCCACGGTTATTCCATCCTCCTTCTCCTTCTCACGCTCTGCGTTACGGCTGCTGCTAAGCCACGCGCTCTGGTCCCCATGGGTATTTTTCACGTAGTAGCAAAAGCCGGAATGGTCGAGTCACGCAAGCGGGCTGCTGTAATCCTGTTCGTATCCATGCAGGATTTCATACGATGATAAGGCCCTCCCAGCGGTCACCATGACGCGAGGAGGAAATGTAGAAATGCACATGCATATGGAAATGGCACCGCACATATGATGTAGATGTATGATACGAAGCTGCGACATGCCAAAACGTCGCTTCGACCAATCACTGCTCCTTATAGCCGACGCATTGACTACCGATATAGCGTGCCGAATCGATGCCATGGGATGAAGTTCATACATGGCTTCGAGCTCCCGCACCGTCACCATATGCGCCAGACACAGATCCATATGTGCCAGCCAACATCAATTCCTAAATCCATTACTTACTCAGATACTTACCACTACATTCACCTTACATGGACAACAACAATCCACAGCAAATCCCGACACATCCCAACCGACAAAACCACTTCCGGCACGCGCCCAAACCGACTGGCAGATACCCCACACTCCAGACTGCTCCATTAAAAATCACTTCCCTTCTCCTCTCTAGCCACACGTCGATGGCGGCGCGGGTATCCTAGTACGGGTAGCCCGGCGGGGCATCCTAGTGCCGCGGCGGGTGCCGCAAGGCAGCAGGGGCGCGAGCGGGTAAACTAGACCTGCACATACACTGCACAACACCAGGGCCCACAGTCCCTTCCCCCCCTTCCACTGCCTGCCACTGTCATTGTTGCCTCCTCCCCTCCCCCCTCCCCCCTCGCTGCTACCGGCTGCACCGCGGAGGGTCCCGGCATGAGAAGCTGACCGGCGAGGCGTCAAAGGACTCGGAGCTGAGTTGCAGCACCCGGACCTCACCCGGCCTGAAAGGGAGGTCGTGGTGGCAGTGGTGGGAACCAAGGGCAGTGGTGGGAACCAAGGGCAGTGGTGGGAACCAAGGGCAGGGTGGGAATCAAGGGCAGGGTGGGAATCAAGGGCAGGGTGGTAGGCGTAAGCGAGTAAGTGGCGAGGTAGGGAGGGAGGTCGGGAGGAGGACGAGGGTCTCCCTCGGTGGATGGAGCGAAGCGGATTTGCATTCAGGAGCTTTAAGGGGAGAAGAAAGAAGGCAGGCCTGCATATACCGCTACATTACACACACATTTACACATTACATACCTACACACACACTCTACACACCTCCACCTCCACCTACACCTCCACGTACCTGAACGCGAACCGTCGGTGTTGCCTGAGATCCAAGCCCAGCACCGCCGCCTGAAGAACCGACAGGCAGTCCGAGTCCGGGGCCACCAGCACCACATCCTCCCCGAAGTACTGCGTCTCAGTGATGGACAGCAGCTGGCGCATGCGGACCATCACATCCTGGGAACTTTCTTGCGGGGTGCCGTCCGTGCCTGTGTGCGTGTGCGTGTGCGTGTGTGCATTTGTATCACATACATGGTGGGGTGCTGCGGAACGGGGGGAAATCACATGCACGCACTTGGCCGCGTGGTGATGGGGGAAGATGATGGGGGGGGGAAGACGAACCACGAACGAATGAAGCTGCTGCCAGGGAAAGAGTGTACAAGAAGCAGGACTGACCAGGGAAAAAGGGGGGGGAAGACGAGCCACGAACGAGGGAAGGGAGGGGAGGGAGGGGCGGGGGAGGACAGCCTTGGACAGCAGGGGTGATGGCACAAGATAAAGACAAATGTTACATTCACAGGAACGACAGAGAACGCCCATGGGGACCTAAGAAACGGGTGTGTGGGGGTGGGGTGGGGTGGGGTGGGGGTGGAGGGGCTGGTGCAAGAACGGACTTGAGTTGGGGCCTGCGTTCTCCCGCTGTGTCGCCTCACAGTGCGAGACAGCAACCCAGTACACATAAAGCACGCAACCCACCACTCGCTCATCGTTTCTTTCTCTTCCTCCCCGCCTAGTACCCTACCCTACTCTACCCTAACCCCAATCCAACCCAGCGCCACACCTTTCGGAGGCCGCCACTCCGCATCCAGCACGTCCCCAGCTGCCACTGCCGCCTGGGCCTCGGAAAGCCGCAGCGCCTCCAGCGCACCCAGGCCGCGCGCGTCAAGAAACGAGTACTGCAGGGCACACCGTACATTTACATACATACACAAACAAGTTTATTGCAACAAAGCACCTTGAGCAGCAGCAGCAGCAGCAGCGCGGGGTTAAAGCTGCCGTGAGTGAGGGGCAGGAAGGACAGCAGCAGGTGGGTCAGGTGTCAGCAAAGCGCCGCCGCTGTGCCTGTCTCTGGGAAATGACCCCAAATCTTATCATGGAAAGGCAGTGGCGGCCGTACCGGGGGGTGGGACATGGGTGCGGATAACTCCGTGGGGGTGGTGGTGTGCATGCGTGAAAAATGAGTGACCAGTGCGGGGTTTTATTTAGGAGGACCCGAATGCGCGTGTCGTACCACACACGTGTCGTACCTCCGGTACGATCCGGCTGCGGCCAATGCCGAGCTTGTACGACAGCAACTCCGCCGTCTGGTAGGCGTTTTGCGTGATGGAGGGCCATATCCAGCATCCGTCTCCACACGACCCCTGTCGTTCCAGCTCCGGAACCAAACCCAGAAGCACCTGATCGGGGAGGAGGAGGCGGCCGAGGTAGCCCCGTGACCGGGATGGATAGAAGAGTGGGAGGAGGAGGAGGAGGAGAAGTTAAGGAGCCAGGTTTGAAGGGGGGGGGGAAATATTTCAGGGCTTGGTCGTGTGCATGTGCTGCTGTGCGCTACCTGCCTGTTGTTGACCGGTGCCCTGATGTGACAAGATGTGTTGTGTCCCCTGTCATCCTTTAGCTTCAAAGTCATATGGCCACCCTACACCCGGATGTAAGATGCCAAAGAAAATCAGACTTTCGGAGCTCTTCGCGCAACAGCTTAAGCATGCAGAGACACATACACACACACACACACGCACACGCACACGCACACACTCACACACGCACACACACGCACACACATTCTCACACACACTCACACACATTCTCACACACACACACACAATCACACACACAGCACACACTCACACACACAACACACACTCACACACACAGCACACACTCACACACACAGCACACACTCACACACACACACACACACACAATCACTCACACACACAATCACTCACACACACCTGCTGCTTCCCCAGCTCTGATAGGCCATGCTTCTCCGAGGTCTTCCACACGGGGTTAGTCAGCGGGTCATCTGCACTCTCATTGTAGCTCTCCCCTGCCCGTACCTGTGCGGGTGTCGACCGCGCGTGTGTCCGGGTTGACGAGTCCAACAGACGGGGGAGAGAAGGAGAGAAATATAGCGGCAGGGAGGCGCGAAAATCATGGATGGATGGATGGATCGATGGATGGAATGGACGGACGGATATAGAAGCGCAGTCACAGTCATGAGAGCCGATGATGCTGATGCCGCGGCTGTGGTGGTAGTGCCCAGCAGTGCATACAAGGATGGATCCTATCGTCCTCACTCCGCAATACTCGGCGGCGGACTCACACCGCCTCCGGGCTTCGGCGGGCGCGCAAACTGTTATCAAAGTTTGTTTACACTCGGGTCAGGGTGGACTGGGTCTGGCCTGTTTCGAGTCTGCGCTAGGGTGTTTGACATAAAAGTCCGGATTTCTGTTCGTATCCGTATACTGCTTTGCGTGCACACAAGGGTTTTATTTTGCCGGCGCCCAGCTCGGGCGATAGGCTTGAGATTTTAAATCAGTATAGAAACCCTAGGTATTGAACCCGAGGTGGCGCGTTGGGGGCGAAAGTGGCGAGGTGGGTTGGGGCGCACGTGCATCATGCGTCTTCTGGGAGAGCTAAATATAACATTTCTCGGGCCAATGAAGATGGAACAGATACGCGCAAATCGTTCAAAGAATGTAAAAGAAGACACACACAAGCACACACACAGACACACATGGTGAAAGCTGCGGAAGCGCCACAGGGAGCGCGGAAACGAAATCTGAGCCTCTGTCGCCTTAGGAACCTTTCTGTGGACTGCTGCTGCTGGCCCAAAAAGCAGCGCACGAGGACCGGGCCGCGTCACCGCCCACTCGCAACCCATATCACTGGCCCCCGATGTCCAGACTGCCTACCCTCCCTTTTGCACACACGCGCGTACCTCGCAACTGGGTCAAAGTAATTTAGGCCCTCACTTCCCAGTTGGCCCCTTTTCTGGTCTCCTGGAACGCAGGTTCCTAACCACCCGTATGTCTTTTTCCTTATGTATGCTAACCCCTAATTTTATGTAAGCACGTGCTTCTTTCTTGAAGCAGCCCCTCCCGGCCGGCCACTCGCCGCAACACGTGCCGCGACAGCCGTCAGCCCAGGAGGTCCGAGATTGGCCTGGCTGCTCCTACAGCTGCTGCTGCTCTGCTGCCACAGGACTTTCCGCCCTGCAGGAGGCTTGGTTCTGCCCTTATGCCGTGAGGTGGCTCGTGAGCCACGCCAGCGGTTGGGCGTGCCCATGGGTGGCGCTACCTAGGTGGCGTGTCCTAGCAGCAAAGCTGGGGTTGCACATGGACTGTGCCGTGCCACTGCGAGCTCTGCTGCCCAATCAGCGGAGCGCTCTCCGCTCACCAGGAAATACCGGTTGTTGAGCTGGTTGGCTGGGAACCGCACCAGTGCGGCATGGCTAGGCTGGGATTGACCCAGGAGCCACAAGCCGGCTGCAATTCCGCTTCCCAAGAGGATGGCGCGCCGGGATGGGCGAGTTGGCGCAGAGGCGACGCGGTCATAGCAATCCGAAGCGTCAAGCAGCGCTGCTCCAAGGTGTAACTGGGAGGGATTTGGTAGTGGGGTGTGGTGGCGCTCTGCTGGACGGCTGTGTTTCCGAGGTCGCCCAGCATGCGGCTTTGGGACATCGGCCCTGCCAGAGCCCACAACTACAGGGCCCGGCATTGTGAGCGCGTCAGAGGGACCCAAGGACTGATCTCGGGCTGGTGGATAGTTATACCTAGAACGTCCGGCTTAGTGGATTGGATGATACTAACGGTGAGGCGCTGAGGCCGTGCTTTGTGGGTAAATGCAGTGGGGCAGGCAAAGCTTCAAACAAAATAGCATGCCAAAGATATGCATTCTGAGACAGCGTATACGCCAGCACTCCGCGGTGCTCGGTAGTTACTGGTTGCACGACGCTGCGCCTGCGTTGCGCGTGGCAAACATACGTCACGCTGACGCCATGGTTGAAGCTGCAGTTTCCGTCCAATTTGAAAGCACATCTTGCCACCACACTTCTTCGGAACGCAGCGGCACAGACAACAAACACATAGCTTCCGATCTCTCAAAGCGGATTCCATTGACGAGGGGTTTATGCATACAAAATCATTTATGCGTGACAGAGTCCTGTTCATATGATCACTTCTATTCACTCAATGTTGCCATTCGTACATATGCGGGCCCCCTGTCCAAAAGAAGCATGCGTCCTTATCAATAGTTACGGTGTGTAGGTCCAGGTTGGACCAGTTTTCGGGCTGATTTGCGTCCCAGTTACTTTGGTGGGTGGGCGGGAGCGCTACGTTTCCGTACGCCGCTACGTACAAACTTTTTCATGTGCCAGCCCCTAGGCTATCATCGCGTCCAGGTTGCACGCTGGCGCAGCTCACGTCAAAGCCAACATAGCGTTATTTAGTATTTATAGATGTACAGAGCTTGAAACCTGACATTCTGCCCTGCCAACTCTGGAACCCAGACCTTCAATACTGCCTGAGCCCCCTTAGTCGACCAACCAAAGAACCTTGATCCTCTGTGGAGTGGACTGTACCGGTCGAAGATTAAGGTATGTAGGTTTCTTGTCAGCCGGAGGTCGCTACAACCAGGGACAAAAGCAGACTCTGAGAAAAGCTTATATCGGGGTTGCTTATTACTGGAGTTGATGTATAGTATAAAATTATGCTGTTGCTTTAGTGTGCCATGTATCCTGGGCGCCAGGGGGTGCTCTTCTTCTGCGGCTGTCATCCGGCAGCTTCGGTTGTCCAGCGCAATGTTATTTTTTCAACGTCTTCCAACACGTATGCTGAACAGTTTATACTACTTTTAGCTCACCTTACGGGTATTACTGCAGGTGCATTGCACAGCGTTGCCACTACTTCAAACAGTGAGCATCAGGGAAGGCGGCAGCCATGAGGCGCCGCGCTCTCCTGCGAGGAAGTTACGCTTTGCTCCTTTTAGTTGGGATAGCCTTTGGTACGTTCAAGCTGCGTGGCGGGGCTGACTGTCGTTTGGAAATTTTAAGGACCAATTGCACAAACTGCAGGTTCCGCGCAGCTTGATACAGCAGATGATTTCGGGCTTGGCAGCTTTGGTCTTAGGCGGCTATCAGCGTATTACCCGAGAAACTTCGGGTCGCAGATTCCAGCTGCGTGTTATCAGAGCAGCTACTTTTCCCCCTTTCGGATCTACTTCCGATTCCTGAATTACTCCGATGCCTCACAAACGACGTACGTTTTTCAGCTTGATGTGTCAACTTGTCCTGTTCCAACGGCAGACTGCTGTCGCCTATGGCTTGACCACATGGTCGTCCGGACAAGTAAGTTGCTGATAGCAGCGCTATTTGCGAAAGATGAGCTTCCAAACCCAAATGATTTTCAACACGAACGGCGCCAAGTGCAGGTCCCTCCTCGCGTGTTATTGGGGTTAGGCTGGATGGTCTGGCGAAGGAATATGGCGTGGGGCCTGAGGGGCTCACGATATACAACATGAGCGTGGAGCCTACCGTTCAGCGGTCGCTGACATTGGAAATCACGACGCCGTCTGAAGGTAAGCATAGGTCTTGGTACAGAGACGCAAACCTAACGCGTTTTAATGCCCAGCCCGACCTCGACAGCCTATTACAAAACTACTGGTCCGTCACTCCCCGCTGTCTCCCATGCAGGCTACAACAACCCTGTGGACCTGTGCCCTCAAGGCCGCTACCCGGACGCTTGCGACATCATCTCATACGACGCTAGCGAGACATGCTGCGTGGAGCGTTCTGCCCTTCCCTATGCCATGTTTTTCCCAGCCCCCCCTAGTCCCCCTGGCACCGTCGGCCCAGTACTCAATGCGCCGCCACCGAAGCCCCTAAAGTTGACACCGCCATCACCACCACAAACAGGCCCTTCGTTCCCGCCTGCTACCCCGTCTCCTCCCCCACCGCCACCTGATGGATTTGACCTCTGCTGTGTGGACGATGTACCCCAGTCACCGTACGTCTTAACGTATTTGGGAAGCAGGCCGACGGGCTCTGATACAGCCTACCTGTTTCAGATTATGGTTCGCAACGTCGCGATTATTGATTATGACGTCGACGGACCTCAGTATGGTGATTGCGCGCAGATGAACCTTCGGGACCTTGGCATTGCGATATGTGAGTTGAGGTGTTTCTGTTTGGGCCCTGTTTTCCATGCCCTCGTCGACATGTTTTACCCTCGTTGCATGATGCCTGTTAGACACCCTTCCTGCGGTGTGGCCTCAACAAGTGTCCAATCCTTCGAAAACGGGTGTGTTGTATGACATTAAAACAACATATGTTCCTATCCGCTGTTATTATTCCCTACTCAACCCATTTACAGACGGTGATCTGATGGTGAAGAGCGTGCTCTTCAACGGCACTGTGGTAGATTACACGCTGCAGCCGCAGGGCACTACCCGGAACGCCAGCTGGCTCAGTATTGGTTTATACAGATCCCTGGACAGCTTCAGGATGGACGTCCTGCTCGACCTTGTCATTACTGTTCGTGGTCAGGTGCCTTCGCTCTGCCCGGCTAATGACATCTTGCATTCTGCCACGGCGTGCGAATGGAGCATGCATGGGAAGGATGGCTTGACGCAATGTTGTCCGCATGGAATCACGCGTCGTGCTGGTCCGTTCGACGACTGCTGCGTTGATGACCTGGGCAAGGCGCCTTACCGGATGCAATACTTGGGTGCCAACGTGGCATTAAATCAAACGGAGCAGTACTTCGGCGTTTCGGTTACTCCTGTGACTGGCGAAGATAACGACAACACGGAAAGCATTGTTTGTGATCACATGACGTTGGACTCGGCGCAGATCGCAATTTGTGAGTGGCAGGGTTGCGTCAAGGCGTGGGCAGGTCTGGGGTGGCGAAGATGAGTACAAAGCGAAGACTGTATCCAGGAACTCAATGGCAGGCGCGACAACATATAGCACGACGACATCTTTTTTGTCAGGCAACGATCTAAAGGGATTATGTTTTTGGTTTAATTTCAGGCACTACAACTTGTTGGCCGGAAAGGCCCCACATGGAATATGGGAAATGCCCCATGCGGACTAGGACATGCATACCAGGGGCAGATGCCCATAAGACGAGCCGGTCTCAGCCCGGAGAGGTTCTGCAGTCAACCTAGCCGGTCACATCGTATCCCACCAATGTTGCAGGACATCCCTTGACGATACTGTGTCTGTTCCCCTCCACCCCTTTCCTGCAGATAAAAACGTGGAGGTGCTTCAAGTCAAATGGGAAGATAGTTCCTTGGACTTCAACATTACCCCGGCCACCCGTGTATCTAACTGGCTATTCGTCAACAACATCAACCGCTTCGTCAACAGCTTTGACGCAACTGCCCCTTCAAAACTAACCGTCGTTACCCGTGGCGCAGTGCGCGAGCTATGCCCAGCCGGCTGGCAGCTCGGTGCAGATGATGCGACGGTCTGCGAGTACACGTTTCATGGAGCGCAGAGTAACAACACCTGCTGCCCACATGGCGTCACGAGCGCCAAGTTATGAGAGTGGAATAAAGGGCAACTGGTGACGAGGATGGGAGCTGCTTTGGGTTGATGAGGGCGGGCGCTGGGGATGGGACGGCGTGCGTACAGTTCGTGATACAGTTCGTTTTGTCGTAACAGCTAATGAACAAGTATGAAAAGCGCGCTGAGCTTCTGAGTCAGCTAGGCGGGGCTATGGAGTCGCTGGTCGGTCAGTAAGTAGACGGCAACAAGTAGTCTGCTGCGGGAGGTTGGATGCGGCTGGTGGTGCGCAAGGAGCGGTGTTACGTTTGCCCGGGGTAGATGCACTAGTTGTGATTTGCGTGTCTTCTTGTGGAAGATCATCGATTTGACGTGACATTTATCATTGCTTATCGGTCCAGATGACCGGTTCTAGGACCTGACGGATTTAGTTTTGTAAAGACCTAGCCCCATGTGTAATGTAGAGGGTCGCAAATGAGCCCGGTGTTAATATAGCGATGGTAGTAGAGCGATGTAAGCATGCTGGGAACGGAGGAAAGTAGTCGTGCATGCATTGCTCTTATTGACATTTAGCGCATGCGAGGTCACAATAGGAAGACTACTGACGTTACATATTTATTGACAAGCGCCGAGGAGAATGTAACGCAAGCTTCATGAACGGGGGTCCCCTAACGCCGTTCCGATGTATTGTTCGAAATTCCGTGGCTTGAATATTGACCGTGGTGCTGCCTACGCTCCAACTGCTGATGTTGCTGCCGTTCCGCAGTCCCACTGCGGCTCTGGCGCCTAATCGCGTCCAGGTCTTCGGCAGTGAATAATTCGTCCAGCGTGCAATACACCCCTCCAGCCCTGCATGGCACGCGCAGGTGCCAAGCATGTAAGTGGAATGGGCGTTGCTATACGGTGAGGCTTCAAGCAAATTGGTGGTCGGCTTGCAGGTCGCTGGCAGCGTAAGTAACAAGTAAACAGCTGAGCTCCACACGCAACGGATCTGCACCTACATACCTAGCTCGTCGCAACCATTCCTGAGCGATGTTGATGCTCCGTTCGCACCCTTGACCATACAAGTACATCTTCGCTAAACGAAGCATGGAGTTAGGATCCCCATCACGGGCATTCTGCGCAGCACAGCGGCGACGCGGAAAGAGACACGGCCGGATAACAGTTGAAGGCCTTAGTCCCAGTTGTGGTTGGGTGAACGATAAGCCGTTAACGGCATGCAGCATTTGACCCCACGGCTACAATGTATACGTCGGCCCGAGGATCACATAAATGGCCACCCGGTAGATCCGGCTTACTGCGACATGACTTGTGCCAACCTCGTCCTTCCACTGTACCGCCCCTCCTTGCCGAACTCCCAGCACTCACGCCAGAGTCCACACTGGCATGGCAGCCGCACCTTGAACGAAAACGGTCTTCCACGCAAGCACATCGAAAGCTCGGCTCTACCAGCATATCCCATTATCACAGTCAAAGGCAATAGGACGCAGGTTGGCTCTTTACCCTCCGTGATTGTAGCTCCAATCACTGATGCTTCGCAGGAAATGGCGAGGAACCCACCTCCAACTCCTCCAAAAACCACTGCTGCTCCCTGAAGCGGACAAGCTCCCTCAATGGTATGCGCGGCGGACCTCCTCTGCTTGACCTGCACCACAGCACAACAGATACGGTCAAGACAAATTTACATTAGCGTACAACACCACAGGTGCTAACGCAGATCGTTGCGCGGAGGCGGAAGGGACGTCCTGCATGCATGACAGTACGGATCCCTACAACGAACGACACTGGGGAGAAGGTTGAGGAGCATCAAGTCACGTTCTGCATGCTGGCTGCGTTATTTGGCATTCACCAAATTTGCACAGCATGAGAGTGCCCTCACGCCGTACCTGCTTCTCTTGCCTCCTGCCTGTCTTCGCCGGGCCACCACCAGGGCTCCCCCCGCTACCGCCATAAGCGATCCCAGGGCGACTGCAAGAGCTCCGAGTGTAGAGGTTGGAAAACGGCGTTTAGTTCGGTTGGCTTCGCTGCTAGGGTCTTCGTCGTTTCCCGGTTGGTCGTTACAGGACGGCGAAGGCTCCGAAAACTGAACATCGTCACCAATAACTTGGGGTGACCGCTGCCGTCGCCTGTCGTTAAGTAATGTAAACGCGCCACTGATGCCAACTGCTGCCCCAGCAATCAAGAGCCACATCTAGAGAAAAGAATTGGAAATGCGCCGTCGCGGTTTTGCTACCCTTCCTGATGAAAAAATCCCCAACTACTTACACAGTGCCGTATGAGTAATACGCAATGCTTAATATAGTATAATTCAATGATCAATAAAGCGAGATAGCCGGAGACCGCGGGCAAATGTAGGCGTTAATACTAAATTTGTAATTCTTCACGGTTCACCAATATGCCGTGACCAATTAGGATTTCAAGGACATGAGGCGTGGTAACACCATTTCAACATCTCGATCGACACGTTACAGCTCTATTCCGAGAACATTGTACGGCATTTGTACAGCATTTGCTTCCGACTGTCCAACTATAGGCAACAGCGTCGCCCCGTCCATTTATCTCCAGGGAAGTCCCATACTGCCCTCCTATCCGTACCTGGTTCCGTTTAGACAGGGAGGTTGTAGGTGAATACAGGCAACAGCAGGGGGCTGTTCCCTGTGTACCCGGCACGTAAAGCCACGTGGCAGGGCGACCAGTGGCAAATGCAAGTCTATGGCCAGCGGTGCGGAATAAGAGGGCTTGCTCCTTGGTCTCCTCTGCTCGACAGGAAAAATTATCGTGTAATCTTATTTGTGATGGATTGGACGACTACCCTGCTCTGTACTGCTCCCGCCAGGTGCGATGAAAGACGACGCGTTTACAGCACATTGCGGCCTGAAGCAAGTTAACCAGCGGTCGGCAGCTCGGGGAAAACAACCAACCAGCATATCGTTGAGCCCGCGAGAGTCATGACCGCTTAGGATTTGAAGTTGTACTAGCCGCGACCGAGGCCCCTAGGTCCTAACCTCATTGACAAAGCGCTCTTTTCGCCGTCCAACTGGTGTACATTTTCAGGTCTCTGGCTGAGTCTTTGACTGAGCCAGGAGAAAGAATCAATACTGGTGACCGTAAAGAAGTGAAGGTAGAAGACGCTAAGATAGTTATCAGCCACGTAACTGAAACTGAAGTAGTCAAAAGCCATCCCAGTACCTTGACCCTGCATCTCCCTGACCCTGAACACCAGTATGGAAGTAAGTACCCCTGTCACTGCATCCCTTCCTCCCCCCTGTGCAACTCGAATGTCCGTGCAATACTCTTCACACACGTCACATACCACGTTTGGGCTCATATGCCACCTGCTGTCGAACGATGCCGCACGGATGCAAACTACTGCAGCACATGGACCGTTTCAACGTCACATCTCAGCGGCTTTCCCGACCATCACACCTCGCTACATGGCACAAGCGGAAGGCGAATAAAAGCTCAGACGTCGAGTCCAGCCAAGGCTTTTAACACTCCAGCCTTCAGACAAATCCCTGCCACAGACAAGCCATGCAGCAACTTTGACCCCTGACCACATAAGAAGGTGGAGAACATCACGACAAGAACTCGCCTGCAAAGACGTCATCCGCTGCGCTCTTCAATCACACGCCCCAAACCCTCTCTGATGGTGCGCATCCTTCCCGAAGTCATGTCATACCGGTCATAATCTCCTCGCCAACGGCACACAGAACACGTCCTATTTCGGCTCCTGTCGCCCCCTTCCTACCTAAAAGAGGTCATCTCATATTATCCGTCACCAGAAGATGCCTCTAGCCTTGCCTTCATTTTTTATCTCCAAATTTTACATCGCCAAACACCATCAGCACCACCTTGACCCTGACCTTCTCTGAGGCTCGCGGATAATCGGTCAGCCGCTGGCCCCCTTCCGCCCCCGGCTCCCAGCCCCACAACAACCCCTCAGGAAGCCGTTCTCGTCTTTCCATACGCGGCCGCCTGCTCGTTTACGCCGCCATCTCGACCATTGTCGACTTGTAGATTGCAGGTGCATCATAGCCCAGCAGGTTAAACGTAGTTGCTGCCACGTTGGCCAGGCCAGCGTCCGGCACATCGTCACGCAGCACCACGCCGTCTGGAAGGCCCCTGCCACCGATGAAAAACGGCACCGCCGCCAGCGTGTGGGAGGTGAGTGGCAACGGCTTGCCGTCCTCGCCCAGGAGTGGCTTTCCCTTCTTGTCGCGCTGAACCATGTCGTCCGCGTTGCCATGGTCGGACGTCACGATCCAGCGACCATTGACCTGGTCAACGATCTCCAGCAGCTCCTTCACGCACGCATCCACCGTTTCCACGGAGCGAATGGTCGCGGCCAAGTCGCCTTCCGAAAGGAACCAGGGGGAAGCCCGCGTGAGCGCAAAGATCATACTGAATAGGCAAGCTGTTTTTGTGGACTGTCTCACATGAGGAAATCATTTCTTCTACCACGGCATTACGGAGACACACACACCCCACATTTGTGACCCCCATGCGTGGTACTCCCAAGTCGCTCCTCAAAGTTGCGCTCTTCGCTCTTCCCGCAGCGTGAATCCTTTGGGAAGTGTGTTTTGCGGTGCTGACGGTCTTCGACCATCTCCCCATGGGTTGACGCATCGCATGGCTCCCCTTCTCCTCCTCCGGGATTGTAGTCCCCATGATGGAAGGCCCAATGGAACATTAGAACATAACCCCCGTATAGACGTCTTCTACCTGCTGCAGACAGGCACATTCCCTTCCTGAGCTCTTCCTGACTGCTTGATGCCGTCCGCCTTTCCGCCCCACGTACCTGTGTGACCGACCATATCTGGGTTGGCGAAGTTGACGCGGATGACCTTGTACTTGCCGGACAGGATGGCCTCCTTGCTGGCCGCAGTAATCTCGCGCGCCTTCATGTCGGGTGCCTTGTTGAACTCAATTTTATCCGACGGAATCTGCAGGTGCAGGCGCAGGTGGCAGCGTGGCCAACAGCGAAAGGCAGAGACCGTGAAGGGAACCGCCCTCTCCTTTGTGCAATGCCCTTACCAAGGACTCCCAAAGAGGACCAAACAGCGAACCCACACAGCAAACATTCCAACAACAGGTCCCCTGATCAACACTTTTGATGTAACCAGCCTGAGGGTTGCCACCACGAGACCTCTTTCGACGCGTGTGCTCTCTCTCTCTCTCCAACGGCCCTACTGCCGCCGCTAAAGCACTTCTCCTCAAGCCGGCCTCGCACCTCGAGATACTGCTCGAGCTTGGCATCCAGGTAACCCGAGCGGTTGCCGTTCCAGAAAAACGTCACGTGTCCGAACTTCTGCGTCTCCGAGCAGGCAAAAGTGGCGATGCCGTTCTTCACCAGGTACTCCCCAGACACGTGCAGGATTTCCGGCGGCGGCACCAGGTAGTTGGCCGGCAGCTTCAGATCACCGTCGTACTGCATCATGCCGACAAAGCGGAGACCCTGCAGGCCCCGAGAAGCAAGCGATGGTGAGAAGGATCATCCGGGGTCGTAAGATGGACAACAAGGGTCTTGTGGTGGCGGTGAAACCCATTCTCTACGGCGCTCCTTAATTTCAATTCCTCTACGGCACGCCCCTGCTACTGCTGATTTTGAAATAATAAACGTAACGGTGTATTCCACACTGACTTCTGGGTCGTTGATAATGGGACGGGTGGGTAGTGGCGCGAGAAGAGAGTGCTCGCTGTTCTCCTGGGTCTCCGTGTTCCTGTTATGCAACCAATACGGAATTGCTTCGCCAATTCACCCGCGGAGGATGTCCGGAAAAACCCCTACCCCTACCGCATGGTCCTCCTAACCTCGGAAGCTCTTTCGTAAACCAAAGTGCCGCTGCAAACCGCCAATGCATTTCGCTAGCTAGTGAATGCAACTTCGTTCAACGGAGCTCCGCTCCGGGCGCGTAGGGCGCTTGGGAAAAACCCTAGCTAGCAACTACACCTCACTCGCAGCAACGGCACCTCTCCTCCTCCCCATTGCTCAAAAGCCGGTTTAGACTCTCGGCGGAAGCTGCGATGCCGATGTTCTGCGTTGGCACATCCTTTGGCATTCATTCCGATACGTAGCAGCAAAAACCCCCACCGCTACCCCGACCGCTTCCTCCCCGTCGGCAGCCCTTCCTGGACTTGATACAGCTGCCACCGCCACTTCTTCCCTAATGTCCCTAATGCATGGGCACCATGAGCCATGTCACTGGCCCAGCCCACCTTGGGATGGCGCTCCCGGTCAAACGCCTTGAACTCCTCGTACTCGAAGGCCTTGCTCATCTCCACCATGCGATCGGCACGGAAGTTGAAGAGCACCACAGCGTCGCCATCCTCAATGGTGCCCACCGGGGCACCCGCCTCGTCCACAATAACGAAGGCGTCCAGGTACTGGTCCGACACGATCGCGTCCTCGGGGCCCTGGAGCGGCGAAGGTTGCCATGCGGGGACAGAGACGTAACGGGACAGAGACGTCGGCGAACGGGGGACGATCGTCACGGGAGTATGGGAAGGGAACTGAAGTAGTGATGAAAGGGGGGTTAAGTTGCAGAGTTGCTCGCTATCTACTGTGGCTTGAACCACGTGAAGGGGCTGCGGGCTCCGGAAAGGACAGCTGGACGGGCTTTCTGATGTTCTGAAGCTCGGGAGGCTTCTGATGCTATGGATGCCCGGATTACAACTCATCATATACATGACAACAGCATGACACCAACAGCCAAGCCCCCCTCGAAGCCATATCAGGGAGGACGGCGTAGGGAGGACGGCGTCTTTAAACTTAGCTGCTTAGAGAGCCACATAGCGAACATGGCTTAAAGCAGCCAAATTATGGCGAAGCACACGCCAAGGAATTATCATGATAACCTGACGCAACTTCTATTACTACAACTCGATCAGCGTACGGATGTCGCTGTGTGTTCCAGATGGCACATTGTCCTCCATAGAAACCCTCTGGTTCAAACCCAAATCGCCCAACAAGACAAGGAAACGGGCCTAGATGATCTGGGTCAAGGCTCTTTGCATTCGAGTCAACAGCAGTGTGCTCGCAGTCAAGGATATCTTTATCCAAGAAGACAGATCCCGGCCGATCCACACGGTGTTGCACAAAGGCGCAGCACACGTTATCTGCATACCCGAAGCGTGACGACAGCGGTCTTGGCATCCGTGAACGTGTGCGGCGCCTTGCCCAGCACGTGCGCATCCCAGCCGCGCTTCACCATCATCCAGTCAGCCTGTGGAGCGGCGTGGGCGCGCACAAGCCGCGCGTCTTGCTTAGCGTTACAGAGCGGGAAGCCCCACGTCGTACTTTATGCAGGCATGTGCTCCACAGGGAGGTTCAGCAGGCAACCATACAGGAAGTATGCAAACTTTCAGTAGTTACCGGGTGACACATATAGCTGTCATGGTCCTCAGGAGGTTGTGTCACAGCCGGCTAATTTACCTCGTAGCGGTCCATGGTGACCTTCATGCGGCCACCGCCCGAGGCAATTTTCGCGTCACAGCCACTGCCACGCAGCTCGGCAAGCACCTCCTCCAGCTGCTCGACGTACTTGACCGACGAGCCGTCCGGCACGTCGCGGCCGTCAGTGAGGATGTGGCAACGGATGCGCTTGGCACCGCGAGAGGCCGCGCCGCGAAGGCAGCCGAAAAGCTGGTCAGCACGAGAGTGAACTCCGCCGTCCGACAGAAGCCCGATGAAGTGCACGGTGTTGGTGGGAAACGCCTGGCTGATAAGTTTCCAGCCGTCGCCCTCAAACATTTTGCCGGACTCAAGCGCGATGTCTACAAGACGAGCACCCTGGTCAACAACTTGACCGGAGCCTAAAGCATTGTGCCCGACCTCGCTGTTGCCCATATCGGCATCGCTGGGCAAGCCGACGGCTGTTCCGTGTGCCTTGATTGTGCGAAACCGCTTCGGAACGGCGCGCAAAGCGTCAATTGTAGGCGTATTTGCAACGTGGACTGCATTGAATCCGTCCTTAAATTCGTTCTCCCCGAACCCGTCGAGAATGCATACCATCAGCGGCCCCTCGGGGGCCGGAATGGTTGGGTGCGGCTTAAGCGTGTAATCGAACGTCATCTTCTGCAAGGGTGGTCCAGGTGGTAGGGACAAGGGTCGGAATTTCCTGAGATGCCGTCGAATGGCTATTTATTCAATTGTGGGCTGCCGGACAGGGGCGGCCCATGCGGAGAATTGCGACATGCAAAATTTTTCGCCTTGATTGCATATAATTAACTTATCTGAGCATGGCCGCACCTAGAAGTGATGCAACAAACGGGGCGTGTGATGTAAGGTATCGAAGAAACGCTCACACCCTCCATGAACGTCGAAACCTTCCAAGCCATAACAAGTCCACAACATTCATTAAATAAAGCCAAATACTTCTCCGGCTGAAGAAATAAAACATACACTGCCGAATCAACCTCCTCGAAAAGTAGGGCTGTTCCTTTATCGAAAGAAATGAGTTGGTCTAACGTTATACAGCACTGTATAATTGCGAGCATTCCCTACCTACTTGTGCTGACGGAAAGCTGGAGCCGAAGCATGCCCCACGAGCACAGGAGCAGGGTTTCACACGGTTTGTACTTACTTGGACGAATGCTATATAACTTACCGGTTCGGGATCATCTGTCTTAGCCACCACTGCCTCCGGGGCAGGCTCGGCAACCGGCTCCGGTGCAGCCGCACACTCCCCGGAAGGAGCCGGCTGAGCAGGCAGGCCCGGAGTAGTGGGCTCAGTGCCAGCAGCGGGGGGCGCAGGCGCAGCCGGTGCAGAATCTGCTGCTTCACCCGTGGCGGGTGGTGCTGCGGCGTCGTCCGCCTGTGATGGGCGCAAAAGTGTTAAGATTGCATGATTATGCCCCAAACATTTATTAAAGCAACTTCCTTTTCAATATTAACACAATTGTCGCAGGATAATCCGATGCCAAAGGCGAGAGAAAAGACTCGATGGATGTTGTCGGGGGGAGCTAGGCCCCAATCAAGTAGCTTCCAACGCACGTGTAACGTAGTTATGTGCTTGGGCGCACCTTCTTCTTCCTAGAAAGAACTGCTCCCATTCCTTTGCCCATGGTCCTGAGCCGAGTTTCCTAAAAGCTATAGAACAAAAGCTTTTCCTGAGATATTGGCAGCTTTAGCTATAGAAGGGTTCAGCCCACTCGCCACTATACGCAATTCGTGTTCAGTCCTTATAGCTTGCGCTTCGTGGTGTTCAGGGCCTCGTCGTATTCCCGTACGGCAAATGTATGTTATTAAACGGAGGAGAAATTCAGAAATGTCTACGTGGCCCTTGCTTCCTGCAAAGAACGTAATTGTGTCGCCTATCGGGGACTGCCGTGGTCGTCCTAACCGACAACTACCTTACCCTCCAAGCACGGCCAGGGAGCAAGAGCCCAACTATCCAAGACCCCAGAGAGCCCAGAAACACTTTGCAAAGAATGACATGCACACCCGCCAACACGATTAACACATGGCATAGCAGAGAAACAGACGCAATCGCGCTCTAGTCTGACACAGGATAGCAAGAGTCCCTAATGGACCTACACGTCACAAGCTTGGCTTCACTTCGCCTCCACGCAGCTCTCGACATCCAAAATTCCTGAAGTATACGACCCAGCGCAGTCATTTCCTCATCTCTTCGTATCACCAAGGCTACCGGCTCCAGCCCTACAACCGTCGTAACCGCTGTGCGCCTTCACACCTAACCCCACACAGCCGAGAGGCACCTCGGCCTCGGCCTCTCAGCTCCCTTGTCGTGCGTGCAACCAGTCACCTAAGCCACCCACTACAAAACATATCCGGCACAGGAGTATATTGGGGATGGGTCTTTCAGTACACCTGGTCTGTGGGTCGGCCGCTGCCGTGAACAGCAACGCCGGTGGAGCGCGCAGGCGCGCCACAGGCACGCCATTGTCCGCTGCTACGGCCAGGCCAGGGGGCCAGGGGGAAACATGCAAGTGGTGCGCACCCACAGGTAAATATTTTGGGAAGAAATTGTAACATCCCTTATTGGCTTCTTAATACTCTGCCCGACGAGAGACACCGAGTGCCCAATCAGCGCTGACATTCTTAAGCCACCACCACGAGGCCGCACATCCTGCCCCTCACACGCGTTCCCTATAAGAGCCGTCCAAAAATGATGCCGCTACAGGAGAAGCGCTCCCGCTCCGGCCCCCAATGCCCCACCAGAGGCCACACACCACACCACACCACCCTGCGGCATTCAAGCGCAGGTGCTCACGGCAGGTGCTCACCGGCCGCCAAGCACCACCTGCCCAGCAGTATCCGCATCAGGCGCCGCTCTCAACGTAAGCAGCCTCGGGCCCAGATAGAAACCGCTCCTTAGAACGGCTTTTCTTTCTCCACCAAAAAAAATTCACGCCATTCATTTGCCCATTCATTCATCCATCCATCCATCCAACTGCAGAAGCAAAAAAACCAGCAAGCGGCACTGCCCAACCTTGGAGTGTGCTGATGGGGATGTCAATCACCCGAGAAAAAAAGGCACTTAGCCAGGCAACAACTCCACATTTTCCACCACCATAATCACGTCACGATCAGCAACCTGTGCGTCCAGTTGCCCGCTGCCTGTTTTACTGTCCGAATGAACAACCAACCCGCAGGCGCAATGCGCTAAAGAAGAACGCAACGAGGAGGGAAATGCTCTGCCGCCTGGCAAAACGCTGCCCGTCTGCGCTGTGCCATAGATTAACACATTTTTCTACGATCCGCACATCCAAACGTGTCCAAACGTGTCCAAACAAACATAATGAACGAAATCTGTGCACACACACACGCCAGAGAAGAACTGCCCTAGCTGTCGGCACCCAGGCGCACCCGAGCACAGTCACAATCCTCACAACAAAGCAGAGAGAGCACGGGAGTCACGTTGAAAAACGCCCTGGGAACGCAACAGCGCCACACAAGTAATACGCCGAGACCGCGCATGCCTCTGCTTTCACATCGCCCCTACCTTTCTGCTCGACTTCTCTGCAACCCTAGGCGCCGCGCACTAAAATCACAGACTTGCCCTTGGGCCCCTTCTCACCGCTCGCATGGGCCGTCATGCCTTCAGAGAGTAGCGCAACTCCAGAAAGGGTAACGCACATACACATACATACAGACATGGACATCATAAGAGAGCCCTCAAAACATGTCGACATGCGGCGGCAAGAACTGCACACCCAGGCACGCGCACCACCTTGACACGGTAGAGATGCACAACTGACATCCCAGTGATACACTCAAAATCCACTCTTTACATCATTTCGCTGCCCACTCATCTGACCAACTGGCCCCGACAGGTCCCCCGGCCAACCACAGCCCCCGAGCAAACCACAGCCCAAACCACAGCCCAACACCAGCACCGCCACGTTGAGAGCGAGACAGCACCAGAGATCCCGTACCGTTTACCGTGCACCACGCCCTGGTCACTCCATCATCTCGTTCTCCGCACCCGGCCCTCCCGCGCCTCCAGCCCCGCTCCCCGCACGCACAAAATGGTTGTAAACCTGCCGCAACATGCCGCGCGTGGGCCGCGCAGGTGGGTAGAACGCGCTCACGTACGCTAGGTGCTGGCGTACCGCATCCTTGGTCACTATGACCTCCTCCTCCGCTGCCGCCGCCGCCGCCTCCCCCTTCCCAGGAGCCAGCATATTCGCGTCGGCCACCACGCTGCCGCCTTCACCACGGGCGCCGTCAAGGCGCGCTTGGTAACAACGAGCCCGGGACTTGGCGCTCGTCTCTCCGCCGCTACCACAAGGCCCGTAACAAGCCAGCAGCAGCGCCACCGCGACGCAGACGCACGTGTCCAGACCTGCACACAGTTGTCCAAGAAAGGGATCGAACCGCCGACCCACATGACCGATGAGAGGCAATTCAAAACAAGACGAGACCAGGGAATCCATGCTGCACTACGATTGTTGCAACGTCGATTCCCCACGACGTAAGATTTGAGGGGGGCGGGCGACAGGGGAACAGTTCTGCTGGGAGGCAGGAAGCCAGGGTGAAAAGATTTCCCGCACAGGCACAGGCACGCAAACACGCACCTCGCACCGGTCCCCGATTTCAGACCACGCACGCTCCCGCTCGGTTGCTTTTCCGCTACACGATTAACCCCAGGTTCTTGCAACCTTTTCCGTCCCAGACACCCGTTTTACGTAACGGCGTAACGGCGTAGTGGCGGCAGCGGTAACTATGGGGTCTCCTTTTAGCAGCTCACCATTGGTATCGTGGATGAGCACCTTGCGGCCGCGACTTAGGTGGTAGGTGAGAAAATCCAGCGCCGTGTCCAGATGCTGGCCAAGGCTGGTGCGGTGATACTTGAAGTGCTTCACAGGCAGGTGCAGGTAACGAGGTGGCACCACCGCCGCAAGGTGGCGCCGCGCACGGGGGCTGCCATGATGATGATGGTGGTGGTGATGGTGGTGGTGGTTGCGATGGTGGTGAGGTGATGGCTCATGTCGGTCTCTGTCAGGCAGAGGGACCTCCTCTTCCTCCTCCTCCCCCTCCTCAACAAGCCGTTGGCCTTCGTTAGGCTCAACCTTAAGGCCACCCGCCTCGCCACAGTCGCCAAGAGGCCACTGCGGCTCACCTGCCATGGAGGGGTGCTGCTGGGTGCCGCAGCACAACACCGCGTCCACATATTCCCAACAACCGGGAGCGGCCCCCGCCGCCAGGTCACCAAGTGCAATCCCTGTACGCCCGATGAAAAACAGACCGCCAGCGCTCATCCGAGGAGCAGGAGCGCAGGCGCCGGTGCCGTTCGACAGGGCCGTGGCGCGGCAGCCTGCCGGCAGCAAATGGTGCTTGTCCGTCGGCGCAGAATACGAAGACGGCGCAGCGGCGGCAGCAGCAGCACCAGCAGCGGCGGCGGCGAGGATGGTGCTGTTTGCACCATGCTCCGCTAGAGCCGCTGCCTCCCGTCGTAGTATCTGATGTACGGCGTTGTACACGCCCGTCGGGCCCGCCTGCAGCAGTTCCGTGTAATGTGCCCAAAACACTGCGGGTGCCAAACCCGCCGCCCAACTCTCTTCATCGTCACCGGCGCCTGGCACATAAACATACGTCCAAGCGTGTGGCTGCTGCTGCTGCTGCTGCTGTTGCTGTTGCTGTTCGCGTCGATGCTTGTGATGGCGCCGCTGTATTGCACCGGCGTGGCGCTCATCGCTGCTGTCGCCGTCACCGTCGGCATCGCTGCCGCCGCCGCCGCCGCCGCCGCCGGCTTCGCCCACGCGGCCGACCTGACGCAGGTACGAGTGTGGCTGCGAGGCGGAGACCAGGTACAGCGGCGTGAAGGGGAGCTGGTCGGGTTGTGCCACTTGGTCGACCCAGATGGTCGAGGACTGGCTGATCCATAGCGGCCGCAGCGGCTTGCGGAGGACCTGTGGGGTATCAAGACCGCCATCGCGGCGACCATCCGCCAGGGAAAATATTATTATAGTAGGGTTGCTATTGTTATATCGCTATCTGGTCAGTTTGCGCAGTTGAAGACAACTAATTCATCGCTGCCAACAGCGATGTCAGCCGAGTCGTGCGAATGCTGAGAATCCGAATCATCGAATGGATGATAATGATAATGATGATATAATAATAATAATAATAATAATAATAAATAATATAGGAATAATAATATAGGAATAAATAATAATAATAATAATAACAATAATAATAATAATAATAATAATCTAAATCCCAAGCACGTCAGCGTGGTTGTCGAGGAGTAAATCAAACGGACAACACAAAACTCCCGTTCGTTCATGATGGGCGTGCCTTGGTATCATCCATCATTGAGACGGGGGCCATGACATGACATGGCGCAACACAAAGATACAATTTCAGCACCCAACGGCCCCTGCTGCTACTGCTATCATTGCTGCTGCTCTTGCTGCCGCACAACGTTACCGTGTGTGTACGAAAATTACCTTGGCTAGCCCTTCCACATCTGCTCCGACACGCAGCAACGCATCCACCCAACCGTCCAACCGCCGCTCAATTTGCGCCCGCTCATTGGACGATATCCACAACGGCAGATGCAACCCCACGTCCCAGCCATCGCCAACGCCATCGCCGTCACCATGGCCAACACCGTTGCCAGCATCCTTGCACGCGCCAGTGCCGCAAGCACAAGCGCACCCTCCCCCAAGCGACCCTGCGCTGCAGCTGCCACTGTCGTGGCCAAGCCTGCTGCCGACGCCGCTGCAACTGCCGGGCCGCGGCGGCGGCGGTACCGCGCCACATCGCCGTGGGCTCGCACCGGATCGAGACGGTGGCGGTGGCGTAGGCGAGCCGGCGTTTTGGTGCGGTGGGAATGGCCGTAGCCGGGGCGCCGGCTCCGGCGCCGGCTCTGGCCCAGGAGGGCAGCCTGTGTCCGCGCAGTCCAACTGAACACCACCACCACCGAGGGCAACACCACCGGCCCAGGCGGCCCTGATTGCCGTCCCACCCGCCGCGTGGTCGCTCTGGTCGCCGGTGCTGCTGCCGCTACTGCTACGACTGCCACACAGTGAACAGGACGACGACGACGACGACGACGAGGCGGAGGAGCGCGTCGAAATGAGGCCGCTCGGCCCAGAGGCAGGGCCGCACGTATCCGAGCAGCTGCCGCCGCTGCCGCCCACGTCCGCTTCAACCTCAACAACATCCCCGTCGGAACCCAGGTGCTGCTGTCGGCCCTGCCGCTGCGTCTGGGCGGCGCGCTGGCGATGGCGGCGGCACGGTGCAGCCTCCTGCAGCTGCTGCCGCTGCTGCCGGTGCTCCTGCTGCAGACGCAGCATCCTCCGATGCTGCGTCTCCACCTCCCCCCGACCCTTACCTTCTTCTAGGCGCGGGGTGATGCAGCGGCGGCAACCCAGATCGCAGTCGGCATTGTTGCGGCCACCGCCGCTGTCATGCTTCCGGTTGTAGGCGTTATTATCCAGGTCGGGATGAACCTTGTTTTGACCGCCACACGCCGATTGCGGCGCGGGGCACTCCCAGCTGCCGCAGTCGCAGCGCATCTGCAGGTCAGGACCGCACTGATCGTCCACGACGCCGCCAAACAAGCCACTCCGCCGCCAACCCTCCTCAGGGGAGCAGCTCACGTGGGAAGCCGACGCAGCGCCAAGATCCACAGAATCCGCAGGCTCGACGGCAGCAGCCGCCGTCACCGCCGTCTCCGCCGCCGCTGACGGAGCCGTAAGCTCGGAACCCAACTCGACAGGCACATTTGCCGACAACGACGGCGACCATGACGGCGGCGGTGGCGCCGCCGCCGCCGCCGCTGCGGCGGCGGCAACGAGTGCGAATGGAGACGGAGTCATCCGAGCCGCTGGGAGGAACGGCAACGGCGGCGGCGCCTCCGCCTCCGCTGCTTCCTCCGCCGTAAGTGAGGTGCGGCCCTCCCAAGCCGCTTGAGCAATACCATGCTTTTGCAACAAGCCGCCACTTTCAAGAGCAGGAACAACTGCTACGTTGCGATCGCCGCAAACCGCATCATCGCCGGCAATCGCCAGCGGCTGCTGCTGCTGGGAGAGCAAGTCCCCGTCATTGTCCGCCGCCTCAATGCTTCCAAAGCTGACCTCCTCCTGAAGCTCTGAGGTGGAAAGAGGGTCCGTACCGCACCAAACATCCGACCTCCGAGTCATCGTAATGAGCCCGGCGGCTACTACCTCATCGCAGCAGCCGCATGCTGCCGCTGCGGAGGGCCCTTCACGGCCATCCACCGCCTCTGCGTCCGCCTCTGCTGCGGTGCACATGGACAGCCCCGCCGTCGCGGCGGTGACTCCATTGCAGCCGTGGCCTCCACTGGCGGCGGCGGCCGCAGCAGTGCCGTCTGGATCCTGCCCTGGCGGCGGAGTCGCCATCGCCGGTGCTGGTGCGTGGTGCGTCGGAGACCCGGCACACATGGGCGTGGCGGCCATCGCCGCCATGTCCGCCTCCGCCGCTGCCTCTACAGTCGTTGCCGCCGCCGCCACCATGGGGATCGGGAGCCACTGACTAAGGGAACCGACCCGTCCGTAGCTGATACTGCTACATCCATTGCCACTGCCCCAGCCACCACCGCTGCCGCTGATGATGTCGCCCTCGGGGGCCCAGCCGCCGGGGGGAGGCGGCGAGTTCGTACAGTCGCCGCAGCCACCATCGCCACCGGCCATGCAGCCGGAGGCGCTTCGGTTTTGCCGGTGATTCGAGGCAGGACGATGGGGGGACGGTGTTGCCGCAGCCGGGCTCGGGTCATCTCTCAGGCAGCTGGTTGCACCTGCCGTTGAGATGGCAGCGTTCTCTGGATCCGAGTTGGGTTTGGGCGCTGCCGTCGAGGACCGGGAGCTGGCCAGCCGTGCAGCTGCCTCCGCGCGCTTGCTGGCGACAGCACGGTTGACCACTGCGGCCCATATGGGTATTGTCTTGGTCATGGCGTCCTAGGGAGGGAGAGCAGGGTTGAGTCTAGGGATGATGCGCATCAAACGGGGACAGGAAGCAGGATTGAACCGTTGCCGAGTTGTGCCGTTTGAGTTGTGCCGTTCACGTCAGATGGTAGGAAACTTTTCGATTCCGGTTGCAGGGTTCCAGGTCGCAACCGTACAACATCTTGGAGGAAGAATGGCAATACGGACACCTTGCCTTCCGCCATCGTCCATCACAGCGGCTCACCGGAAAGCGCTTCCCTTTGCGCGTCGCATCCACAATAATGACGCCGCCGTGCTTAGCGGCCAACTCGCATACGTGCCAGTTGATCCTCGTGCAGGAGAAAGACCAGTTGCCGTTGTGGCCATCTGTAGACTTATAGTAGCAAGTACCATCGGCTTGACGGGTATACCATAAACCGCAACGCAAGTTCGCCAATAGAGGCAACGACGGGTACAGTGCCCTGACTTCCGATACAAAGGCAGCATCCGATAAAATTGATGCAACGCAATTGTACAGCGAACTTTGCTCCTTCTTTAACTGCCGCGTAACCTTCCAAATGCTCTCTTGAGTCGGCGGCAAAAATGCGTCGGCGTCGTCGATCATCACGGCCAACTGTTTTGGCCAGTCTCCTAGACCTTTAACTCACGCTCAACAAGCATACAAGAGCGAAAGCCGCTGATATAAGTCCGTCTTTCTGTGAACTTATGGTAGTTGCAGGCAGATGCAAGAAGAAGGTCGACCAAATATCAAATTTGCAATTGGTTGTAATACTTTCTGTTTGTACATGTACATTCTGCAAGGGTTTGCTTTCGATGGCTTCGCACTTTGGAGTACTGTTTTGATGATGATCGGGGCCGTTGCCCTCCTACTAGACAACTAGAAGTGCACAGGAAGCCCCATTCCCAAAAACGTTTAACAGTTTCTATTAATTTCTATTTCGCAAAACCTAAGGCATCATATCAAAGTTTGAGCAGTAGCTTGTGACAGGAAACATGTATCTTATTTTCCTAGCCCTGACGTATTTAGCCCTTATAGGTAGCTCTGGGGCTGCAATAGATGCCGACAAGGCAGCAGAACTCTCTCGAGAGATCCGCGAGCACTTTCGGCAAACAGGAGCCAACTGGGTCTCCCCACGAATGTTTCTCCAGGTGCGCTCTACACCCAACAGGAACTACAAAATTATCCTCCTTACTCGCGCAGTTCAATTACCGTCACGCCTCCCCGCGCCTCTGGGCCAGCCTAGCGCTCGCCCTCCCTCACTGCCCACCATGCCGTACGGCAACGCCGGGTTCTCTGCGTCACATGGAAGTACAAACTTCGCACGTATCTAGATTAGAGGCCGTTGCAAAGTGCGATTTGAGCACGTGCCCACACTCCTGACCATGTATATATTCGCCGCTGTTGTTGTTGCTGCCTTGTGTATCATCATCATCATCATCATCATCAGCAGCAGCAGCAGCAGCAGCAGCAGCAGTAGACACGGGCAGCGGAATCTTTCGTAAGGGCATCTCCCCTCCCCCCCCCACCTCCCAGGTCCACATGCGCATGCTAGTTAGTTCCTTGTCCTATACGTATCGTATGTCCGTGTGTGAGGGAAGAACGAAAGAGGTGTGGGGGAGGGAAGAGTGAGGGGACTGCTGACACAGGCCAGGCGAAACTCTGCCGCTGCCCTGGATTTGCCCCTGCACCACCACCACCGGCATCTGTATATCGGCTCTCCTCCGCTTCCCCCCTCAAACCCCCTAGCTCATTACCTCTCCCCATATTTCTCGCTCTCAAATAATTCCCCCCCTCACCTCTCCCCCTTCCCCTCCCCCTCCTCCCTCCCCCTCCTCCCTCCCCCCCCCCTCCTCCCTCCCCCTCCCCCTCCTCCCTCCCCCTCCCCCTCCTCCCTCCCCCTCCCCCGCCGCCTCCCCCTCCTCCCTCCCCCTCCCCCGCCACCTCCCCCGCCACCTCACGGGCACATGTCGTTGTTGTCGTGTTGCTCTGCCCTGCTCTGATCTGCTCTGACTACACAACACAGATGAACCTGACGCGCAATATCAAGCCCATCATGTTCGTCTACACTTCCAGATCGTGAGTACGGCACACCGCGGCTGTAGCAGGTTGTAGCAGCAGCCGTATAGCAGTAGCTGGCTGCCGCAGTAGCAGGGGTAGCGGGAGAGTGCAGCTGCTAAACTGCCTGCTGCAGCATTGGTAGCTGGGTAGCTGTAGTGCATCCGGGGTGGTGAAGTTGTGTGGGATAGGTGAGTGTGGCCTAACGGCCCCAACGGCCCTAACCGCCCCAACCGCCCTAACCGCCCCAACCGCCCCATCTTTTCCTCTTCCGCGCAGCTGTGCCGACTGCCGGGACTTCATGGCTAGCTGGAACCAGATAGGTGCGCAGTAGCAGCAATAGCAGTATCTGACTTTTAGGGTTCTAATACACACACGCACACACACACACATACGAAACACACACACAGACATACACCCACAACCACAGACAGACATGCATACACACACAGACATACATACACACACACCGACCACGTCTGCCTCTACCTAGGTGTCCTGAACTCAACTCACCCAACGCCCGCCTCCCCCCACTTCCCCCGTTCGTGGTTCGTCTTTTTCCCCCTTCCCCACCCCGTTCGTGCTTCCCCTTCTCCCCCCTAACCCTAACCCCAACCCCAACCCCCCTCTCAACACGCACCAGACCGAGTAACGCTGTCCTCTCTCACCGCCCAGTTCGTATCCGTACTGGCCCTGGACGACTACGCGATAGAGCTGGTGGGGTCGTTGTTGGAGGGGGGGAGGGGGGGAGCGGTTTCAGGGGCGGGCGGGGGAGTCCCCGGGGAAAAAGGGTTGGCGGCGTGGATAAACCTGTATTAATTAAAGACAAGGCAAAACCCAGGAAGGCAAAGGGATATATATCGCCACACTTCCCTCCCACAACGCCACAATGCCCTCACACGCCCCGCAGTCCCGTCCATCTATTCGTTGTCGTATTTTTTGAAGCCATCACCCTCTCCTCGTCATCGTCCCTCCCCTCACCCTTACCCCGCACACCGCTCGCTGTGTGTGTGTGTGCGTGTGCGTGTGTGTATGTAACCGCAGAGCCAATATAGTCCCCCTGACGTCGACTTTTTGCCACGAGTGGTGTTCGCGGATTCGTACGGCAAGGTACGTGCCGTACGTGCCGTGTGGTGTGATGCACGCACTGACCCCTTACTAGCCCACGTGAGCTCCGTGGGCCGCTCGAAGAACTCCCACATGCCGTACACATCCACCACACAATGTTTTACGACTCATGCAGCTCGTACGTACGCGCTGAGCCGTAAGGGTGTACGTGAAAAATGGCCCTATCGATATTTCAGTTTTGACATACCGGCACAAGCACCACCACACCCACACACCCACACATGCACATATGCACACATGCACATATGCACACGCACACACATACACACACACATACAGACATACAGGCATACTCCCAAACACATACCCGCATATACACACATAGTCACACACATACACATGCAAAAAAACACGCAAGCATGTAATAGCCCTGTTTGCTTTCCGTACCGAACCGACTCGACTTTGCACTCACTTTGCACTGACTGGCCACTCACTACCGGGTCCTGACCTGGCCCTGAGTCGCTATTCCCTCCCGTCCCCCGGCCCCCGGCCCCCCCCCCTTGGCATGCTACATCGCTGGCAAATATCTTCCTCCGACACCCTCTTCGCCTCCCCCTGCCCCCCTGCCGCCCTGCCCTGACACCACTCTCGGTGCTGACCACCGCCCACTTCCGGTCATTATCATCATCATCATCATCACCATCACCATCATCTGTCCGTCTGTCCGTCTGTCCATCCGCTTCCCCCAATCAGTTGCTGTCAGATAAGGATCGGAGTCAAGACGAACTGCCGTACTTCTATGATAATGCTCGGCAGGTTGGTGCTGGGCGCAGGGTGTGGTTCGGGGTGCTCGTAATTGTTGTACACTAACTCTCACCAACCGCTAACCACATGCACAACTGCCAACCGCCGCGAACCGCCACCAACCGTCACCAACCGCCACAACTTTCAACCCAGGTCGTGGAGGCGATGCGGCGCCACCTGACTCGTCACTGGGAGGCCATGGGCACGGATGTGTTTGCTGGTGACCTGACTGAGGACCTGCTCTAGGGGGGCACCTGCTGCTGGCGGAGGGGAGGAGGGGAGAGAGGGGAGGGGAGAGGAGGGGAGGAGGGGAGGGGAGAGGAGGGGAGGAGGGGAGGTGGGGGAGGAGGGGAGGAGGGGAGGGGAGAGGAGGGGAGGAGGGGAGGGGAGAGGAGGGGAGGAGGGGAGGTGGGGGAGGAGGGGAGGAGGGGAGGGAGAGGAGGGGAGGTGGGGAAGTGAGGGCGATAGGGATCCAGAACGATGGGGAGGCGGAGGAGGAGTCCGAGACCCCACAGCAGCACCTCAAATGTGTGAAGGAAGTTCTTCAAACTAATTGAAAAATAGACTTCAGGAGACCGGTCTTAGTAAAATCGCATCAGCGAGCTGCTGTTAACCACACAACAACACATCTCCATTCTGGTGGTCGGTGGCGGCGGCAGAAGCAAACCAGCAAGTCGTCGGGGTCACCATCGGGGTCATATTCCACCGTATTAACATTGCCGCGACGGGTGCTTGTTTTCCTTGTTTTTTTTGGTTTGTGTGTTTGTTGTTGCATTTCATGTGCCGTGATCCTGGAGAGTATGCCGAGCCGTTGTGTTTTGGAACATAAAATATCAAATGGGATGTACGATCTCTGTATGTTTTCTGCGGTATGTATTCGGGCCAACTCATGAATTCCTCTCTGTCTTCTCAAGACAACACGGGGAAAACCACGGGGCGTGCTGCTGCTGCTGGTAGTTGGTACCTTGGTCAACCCTTCTGCTGCTGATGCTGATGATTATGATTGTGATAACTTAGCCCATGCCCCATTCCGAGTTGTTTTAGTGAATGCAGGGTTATGGGATGGCGAATTACATCCCCTAGAACAACGTGACATCAGAAAGCTGGCACCCACGTTAAACTAAAAACACACGCGCACACACGCGCACACACACACGCGCACACACGCGCACGCGCACACACACACGCGCACACACACACGCGCACCTCGGGGCGGAATCTTCTTCATGCAGCCATCACCTCCCCCGCCACTGCTGCACGCCGCCTCGCCGCAGCCCCCCCCCTCTGGCTGTAAGCAACGCCAATAAAATGAACCGTAAATCCAGCCCACACAAAAGTCCTCTTCCGTTTTCCCTCCCCCTTTCTCCGGCTCCCCCGCGGCCTCTTGCACATACACATCTACACTCTCACACGCGCACACACACACGCACACATACATACACGTCGTCAAATTGCACGCGCTGTGTTAGCATGACCCTCTGCTTTGTCCGCGAACTTAGGAGATAGAAGAATAGGTTTTCAGGTTCTATCTAACCTAATGTGGAGGACCTTTAGGCTGTCTGCCCCCGTTGTCTGTAATAGTCAGTTCTAGCCGCCCGCCACCTATTCGCCTTCCTCTCGCGGCTTCAGCACCTCCACTTATTTGTTCAGGCTCTTGACATCCCTCTCTTAATCAACATCTACTTAAAAACCTCAAGCTACATATACAATACAACGTCCATGGCCCCCTCCCCCGGCTTTTACGGACACACACCCGCACTTGTGTGCGGAACTTGTAACTTGTTTAACTATGTCGCCCGTCTCCCAGATTCAAGCACGTATGAAGTTATTCATGTACCACCATCGACATTTCCTTCGTCGCGGTTCAGATCATTCACAAACACACATGCACACACACACACACACAGACGCACACACACACACTACCATGTTGCCCCCCCAGTCCTAGAGTTGCAACGCAGACGGATAATGCGTGTACAAAAACGTCCATGCAAAAACATCCATGCAAGGGAGCGCGAACACACACCCACACCCACACCGGGGCAGAAAGAGGACCTCTGGAGGGAGGAGGGAGAACGGAGAGGCGGCGGCGGCGGCGCTGCCCTCAAAACACCCGCCCCCAAGATTCGGATGATGATAAGGAGATAAGGAGAGAGAGAGAGAGAGGGGGAGAGAGAGAGAAATCCGTTTTTGTGACATGACAAACAAAAAAGATAAGAGGAAACCCTAAACACCGAAAGCTCCCGAAGCCCGTTAAGTACATCCCCGCACACTACTCGTTTTCATGCACATGATACACATACATACATACACACACACTCCGAAACCCCCTGCTTCAGCACCTCCTCCTCTTCCTCGCCCCGATGATGCACCTCCCCCCCTTCCTCCACAGTCCCACTCTCACCTACACTACAGCCATAACCCCCACACCCCAAACCCACAGCCACGGCATCCCAAGCTACTACTGCAGCGGCGACTCCTATCCATTCTGACAGCTGCTGGTGCTACAGCTAGGTGTCCTGAGCTGCTACAGCTGCTACTGCTGCTTGCGCTCCTGCTCCCGGGCAGTTGCGACCTGCTTCCGAGCCGCCTCCACCTGCAGCTCGTCCAACTGGGCTCGATACGCCTTACGGAGGTAGGGGAGGGTGTGTAGGGGTAGGGAGGAGGTGGAGGCCGGTAGGGGGGTGGGGAGTCAATGACGGGAAACAAGGAATGAGCTGCCGGGCTGTCTGAAGCCCCCTAGGAGGAAAAGGGGGGAAAGACGAACCACAAACGAGTGAAGCTGCTGGGAAAAGGGGGGGGGAGGAGGCGCGGGGAGATCGGCGTGGGGAGGGGACGACCCGGCACAGCGGCCGCGGATGGGAATCCTCTCCGTCCCGCGGTAATCATGACGCACATATCGTTGGGGAGGTGAACGTAATCGATCATAGATACGATTGCGTCGCGTTAGGAGAACAAACTGCTCCGTCTCGCCCCTGAGCTACTGGGGGCCCCATGAAGACCTCCGCAGTAGGGGATCCCCCCCGTCGACCGCCCTACCACCGCCACCGCGTTTACCTACCGCCTATTGCCGGGGCTACCCCCTCCCTCTCTCATACCCTTCCCCTTTCCCTCCTCCCCTCCCCCTTGCTCTCCCCCTCCTCCTCCCCCTCCTCCTCTCCCCCTTGCCCCCACCTGCGCAAATGCGTTCACACAAGACACCGCAAAAGCCGCCATCAGCAGCGCCATGACTAAGGACCAGGCCTCAGCCACCGTATCCGGAATAAGGCCCACCACCAGGCGCTGGAGCTCCTGGCGGCTGCGCAGCACGTCCAGTCCTCGCCGCCACCACCACCGCCGCCCGGCCATGTGCTCCGCGCTCTTGGCAAGGACCTTGGCAGCAGCGGCAGTTGGGCGGGGCATGGTACGGGGGAGGACGAGGACGAGGATCTCAGAGTAAGGCGGAGGGGGACGAGGAGGAGGAGAGAGGGGCGGAAAAAGCACGAAAAAAACGTGCTCTGCAAGCCGTGCGGGGGTGTCATCATTCACGGGCAGAGAACAGCAACCTATCTCACCATACAGCAAAGGGCCAGTCGCGGTTTCATCATCGATGCCTGATTAGGCAACATGTCCCCCTTCCCTCCTTCCCTACCATCCCACCCCACCCCACTCCCCACCCTCAACCGCCGCTTTTTCGTTACCCCTAACCGCCAACCCCACCTTAGATTGGTACTTGGCTATGGAGCGGTTGATGAAGAGGTGCACCTCCCGGGCGGGGGAGTGGCTCCCGGGTTGCTGTCCGGGTAGACGGGAGGGCAGCACACCCTCCAGCCAGGCGAGGATTGCCTCGCGACTGTCACGACGAAACACAGCCACGAAAAACACAACCTGACACCCCCGGGGGGACGGGGAGGGGAGGGGAAAACGGGGAGAGGCGTGTGTGTGTGTGTGTTTTGTGTGTGCGTGGGACGTGGTGGGAGATAAAGATCCGGTAGGAGAAAGGGGAGGTGAAAGGAGCGATGGGAAGATTCACAAGCGTGCGAGTGAGTACGACGAACACCCCGCCTTCTCCTGCCCCAGCTTTTCCAGCATAACTCCGTGTCAGCGAAATCCATAACCCGGAATTACCCCTTTCCCGTAATCCCTCCTTCCCCCCCTCCTCCCATCCTTTCCCAAAACACACAAGCGCTACAAACCCCTCCCCTCCCCTCCCCTCCAACCCCCCTCCCTCCCCTCCCCTCCAACCCCCCTCCCTCCCCTCCCCTCCAACCCCCCTCCCCCTCCCCTCCCCTCCAACCCCCCTCCCCACCTGCCCGGTAACCTTGATGAACCCCTTCCCAATCGACGTCGCACCGAAGAACTTCCAAAATGGGAACCGGAAATTGCCGCACACCAGCCCGCACAGGTCGAATGCGGCATTAGGCCAGGAGGCCAGCACCAGTATGCCTAGGAAGCCGTGACAGCGGATGAAGGACACCATCCACTGCTCCATTCGCGCCACCAGCCGCTGAAACACATTACGGTGCGGGCTGGGACGGAGGGCCTGAAATGGGGCCGCCGAGCCGAGGGGGAGGGGGGGGAAAGGCAAACCGCAAACGAGTGAAGCTGCTGCCAGGGCAAGAGTGGGGGGGGGGGAGGAGGCGGGGACTGATTGCGGAAGCGAAGGGGGCCGGGGGGCCCGCGGGGGTAAGACACAAACCACGGGGAATGGACCCGGCGGGGACGGGGGTGCAAGGAGGGGGGGGAGGGAAAGGGGAGAGGAGAAAGGATGACAGCTATGTGTGTTTTTCAGTACCGCAAAGCGTGGGCGTAAAACCACGGAGGTTACGGAGGTCGGTGGGGTGGGAGGTGGCACGAGGGGGATAGTCGGGGGATAGGGGAATTTTTTAAGTGGTGGGGGAAGAAGGGGCCCCCTATAATACGCCTGCTACTGCTACTGCCGGTGCTGCTGCTGCTACTGCTCACCTCCTCAAGTTCCTCGAGGGCCATGTTCTTCTGACCAGCCACGGCCGCAGAGTACGACAACCAGTACGGCGGAATTTCACCAATGGCCGTACCAATGCCCCACAGTACCGCAGTCAGGATTACCTACAGTACGAACAAATGATGACGTGGCATGATAGTCGGTCGCCCACTAAAAAAGATGATGGATTAATTTAACTAAAATAAGCTAGGCCAACAACAAAAAAAACAATAGAGGAGGGCGAAGGACCGGGATGAAAAAGGTATGGACAACGGGCACAGAAAGCAATATGCCTACGACAACACCCCTAAATAAGGCCCGAAAGCGAGGGACCCGAAACGGCACTACACACACACACACACACATACACCGCGACAAACCTCGACCGCCTTTCCAACCCCCACACCCCCACCGCAGCAACCCTCCCTTTCACGACCACTCTCCTCCTCATCCCGCCTCCCCCTCCTGCCGCTACTGCTACTGCTACTGGTACTGTTGACGCGGCTGCTTCCCACACACCCATTCCCTTTCCCATCGGTCCTATCCTCCGAACTCTAGTTCCACTGCACTCGCACCTAACACGCTCACCCCCCCCCCCCACACACACAACGCACATCATCCCCATCCCCATCACCACCTACAACAACAATCTCGGCCCACCGCGATAGGGTTTGGCCAACGGTTGCCTGCCAGCATCTTTCACCTCTTTCCATGCCCAGCTCCGCCCTCATCATCGTGCGCCTCCACTGCTCTTTGACCACCCCCTCCCCTCCCCCCCCCCTTCCCTCTCCTCATCCTTTCTACCCCCCTCCTTCCCCCGCTCCCTCCCCACCTTTCTGAACAAGTCCGTGAACGACACCTCCTCCTCCGGACCCTCTCCGCACGTGAAACTCTCGCTGCTGTACCACATGTCGTACCGCGTGTCAAACCGGAAGTGCCCGCACGTCTCCGCTGCCAGACACACCTGGTAGAGGAGCGGACAGGGGGAGAGCGGACAGGGGGGAGAGCGAGGAGGGCGGGGAGCGCGTGTGAGGGCGGGGAGCGCGTGCGAGGGCGGTCAAGGACGCCAATTGAATGGCGAAGGGAGGGGAGGGGGGAGAGGAAATGGAAAAGCCGCACGACGCAGGTACCCTCCAAGCCGGTTGTTAGTTAAGGGGGCTGCCAACTTCACAGCTATTCTACAGCCACCACCCACTACAGCTGCTACTGCTGCTGCTCCCGCCGGAACTGCTCCTCGGGAGCAAGGTTGCTGCCGCTACCGCTGTCGCCGCTACCGCTGCCGCCGCTACCGCTGTCGCCCCCACCGCTACTGCCGCTACCGCTGCCGCTGCTACCGCTACTGCCACCACCGCTGCCGCCGCTACCGCTGCCGCCGCTACCGCTGTCGCCGCTACCGCTGCCGCCGCTACCGCTGTCGCCCCTACCGCTACTGCCGCTACCGCTGCCGCTGCTACCGCTACTGCCGCTACCGCTGCCGCCGCTACTGCTGCTACCGCTGTCGCCCCTACCGCTACTGCCGCTACCGCTACTGCCGCTCACCGCTGCCGCCGTTACTGCCGCTACCGTTGCTACCGCCAGTGCTGTTCTTACCGCTCGTAACGGCTGCGGACTGACAGCCACCCGGGGCCCCCTCCCTAACGATGACCCAGATCAGACCAGGACACGACTGACAGACTGACGGACGGACGGAACCCAGATCCTGAAATACGGCCTACGTGCTGCACGGCCTTTCCATTCGTGTACGGTGTCGTACCTTGAGGATGTGCGGAAAGAGGAAGAGCAGGCCCGTGTGCATTCCGGTCCCCAGACCGATTGATGACAGCACGCCCAGCCCCACCCACCACACGACGTACTTCACGGTTTCCTGGGGGGTAGGGATGATGCCGGGGTTTGGTGTGGGTTGGTGTGGGTTGGGTGTGGGTTGGTGTGGTGTGGTTCTCGCAGGGTGATGTGGGATGGGAGAAGTCATAGGCCAGTCCAGAGCCATTTATTTGATTACCGCAGATTTCCACTTAGCATTCAACAAAAGAAAATCTCGTTCCGCTTCAGTGCAATTCAGGTTCCGCTTCTGTTCTGTGATGCAATGTGGTCACTTTCTATCCCAAAACCCAAGCCAAGTAAGGAGGCAGTGAGGAGGCACGGAAGCGGATTATGTGATGAGGATAGACCTTCGCCTGCCAGGGTGACGGGAGGGCGCCCTGCGCGATGTTGGAAGCGGGTGGGAATAAGGTGGGGGGCGCGGGAAAGAGGACGAAAAGATGGGAGATTGGAATGAGGGAGGGGGAGGAGGGGGGAAAAGAGGAACCACGTACGAACGAAGCTGATTTCCTTATGGCCAAGGAAAGACTGCTGCGGCAGATGTAAAGAAAGCATACCCAACCATGGGAGGAGGGGGCGCGGGAAAAGCTAAACCATGTGCGATGACGGCCTCTGCTCACCTCAACTTCAGCTAACAATTCCTGATAGCATCCTGCCCATTTGGTGCCCGCATACGCAAGTAAAGCCGGCAGTATGACCAGCATCGTGACTGGGTGACTTGCGACCCATTTCGCTCCGCTGTAGAGCCCATTCGCGACGTAGCAGCCGCAGTAGTAAGTTGTCCGCAAGGGGGACTTGAACAAAGTTATGTTACGCAAGGACCTTGCTTGACGCAACCGAAGCTGCAGATGTCGTGTCAGCCCAGACCAGAGCCAGTTAAGCCAACGGAAATAAACGATTGGCATTAATGATCAGAGAAGAATCGTCGCGAGGGGGTTATGGAACGTCCAGCCCAAGGACCTTTGGCCTATCACCAACTAAAAACTCGCATAATGGTTAAACGCACCTGTGTGATGGTCTCCTCCTCCACGTCTGCATCCGCCATCTCCAGCCACTGAATTTATCCGATTCTATGCAATGCCATTAAGAGAGAAGTGTTGCAAGCGCGCGGAAGATGAGCTTGACAACAGAATTCTACAAAATTCTATCCGTCTTAAAAGTATGCTTCAATTTTTTGAAATTTCTTAGACGATAGCTGGTAAAGTTCTACTCAATATGTGTGAGGGAAGGCAGGCTGGGGTCTAGACTGGCGCGAGCGTGAACCTTCTAGCAAATTTGCCGTGTACAATTCAGTGGAAAACGTATCAGTACGATGTATGAGACCTGATTACAGTTAGGGCTTGGCTTCAGGATGTGACGATGTGGCGGGGCCCGACGTGGTGGCCCCACGAGCAATGCCGTAAATATAGGATTTAACAGCCTGTTGGAAATGTTTTACCATAGCAAACGCTTTACAAAGCCTTCCATCATCGTAACTCCTCAGCCCCCCTCCTCCTCCTGAATCGTCGCTAACAAACTTTCGGCGTCCAAACCAAGCCCCTCAAGGGCTTGTCGAAGTACCTCTACCTTTCGCTCTTCCTGTCCTAAGCACACAAATAAATCTGTCATTCCCTCCTCGGCCTCCGCCTTGCCTTCAGCGCGAGCCTCGGCAACAGCCTCTTCAATCCGACGCTGGATGTCCGCCTCCGAGAGGCCCCCCGCGCCGTGAGCTGGTCCTGCAATCATCAGGGTCATACAAGATCAATATAATCCCATTAACTTAAATTACGCAAGCCACATTCAAAATCATGATGCCTGGCCCACGGGCCACACAGGCAAGGAAGCATCTATAGTTCATACAGTCATACCTAAGTCATACCTAAGTCGTGCACAATCCGGACAAGCAGCCAACACACATAAAAGCGGAATTCGTTGCCCCAACGCGCAAACATTTCTTTTTGCAGCAAGCCGTCGTCGGGGTTCAAGCCGTCAAGACACGCAAACATTACCTTCACCCAATCCCTCTCCACAACCGACAATCCGCTGCTTCCCTCGGCCACCCATCCGAACCACCCCGCCTCACCCACCCATCCGAGCCGCGATCCCTCACACGCACCTGTCGCTCCCGCCGCCGCTGCCTGCGATCGAGCCTCTGCGGCCGCCGCCGCCGCCTGCGCCGCCGCCAAGGCGCCCTGCGCGCTCCGCAGCTGCGCCTCCGTCGCAAAGGCATGCGCTTCTAGATTGTTGTACGCCCCGGATAAATCCGCCAAATCCGCCTCCGCCTTGCTAGCTGCAACGTGGGCTGCTGCAGCCGCTTCGCGTGCTGCCGCCGCGTCCGCTTCCGCTTGCGACAGCCGTGCCGCCATCACCTCCAGCTGCGATTTTTGTTTTTTGTGCAACAACAGGTACGGGAAATATAGATCAGATTCAAACTGGACTCACTTAAAAAAGAGTCCAAATTGGACTTAAAGTCGTGTTCAATTTAAGCGAGATTGGAATTAATCTAATTTTGTGTTCTCAGTTACCAGGTTGAACCAGGTGCGCACACGATGATACACGCACACACACACACACACACACACACACACACACACACACACACACACACACACACACACACACACACACAGACGCACATGCGCGCGGGGGTGGCAAGTCACGCGTACCTGCTGCCGCAGTGCCGCCACCTCCTGCTCGGCCCGCCCCGCCCGCAGCTCCAACGCCACCCGCGCCTCCACATCAGCAGCCGAGTTCACCACCACAGCAGCGGGCTGCGGCACCACCGCCATGGACGTGCCACCAGGGCCAACATGCGGCTGCGGGTGCGGCTGGGAGTATGGTCCGAAGGCCTGGGATGCCGAATGCGGGGCCCCATGATGGGGCTGCGGATGAGGCCCCATCCCGTAGACGGAGGCGGAGGCTCCGGGGTGAGGTGGCGGTGGCGGTGCTGAGCCGAGGCCGCTCTGGGACAGTCTACACAGGCGCAACAACAACAAGAACAACAAGAGCTGGCTCAGGCCTCAGCGGGGGGGAGGAGAGAACAGTCCTCAAAGGGCTCCAGGACAGAGGAGGACCCGGACCCGGACCCGGTCGACAGAGCACCGGTCACCAAGAGATGGTGCATATCGCAAAACCCCGGTTAAAAGTTAAAAAAACAAATCGTAGAGCGTAGGCGGATGCTGGCGTGACCCACGGGTCACTGACATTCCATGTGGGTCCCTTTTCAGTGGCCAGAATTAAGCCTGGTACGCAAGACGGACCCCCGCAAAACAACGTACAAGACAACAAATAAGGAGAAAAAAGAGTCCTTGGCAGAGGAGGGCTAGAGGGGGGGTTAGTAGGGTAGGGGAGAAGTATATCCTCAAATCCGGTTCCTGGGGTACCTGCCGAACATTCAACTCGCCATCGATATGATGGCATTCCGAACACATTGGCTTAGCTGGCCAGAGGGCCTACCTGAAAAGGTCTTCCGCCAGTGCCCGGTTCCGCGCCCTCAGCTCGTCCATCTCCCGAGCCAGGCGGCCCATTTGGGCCACCGCCCAGACCAGTCGGGCGGAGTCATCCGGGCCGGGGATCTCTGAGGGGCTGGCGGGCGCGGTGTCCTGCAACAAAAGAGGGGTGGTGGGTGGGGAAGAGGAGCAGCCACATGTACTGGCCACAGATCGGGAGGCGGACACCATATCGATGGTAGAGGATATGGTGCTAGGTGGTGTACGCCTGTCCTGTAAGAAGGGTTCAGCTCCCTTGACATCTCCCTTAGTGCTCTTGCCTGGTGTTACATTGGTGCGCGAATTGCTAGGAGGTGGGAGGAACTCCCCGGATCGAATCCGGTTACAAACATAGCGTACTCCAGGCACCATGCACAGCATACTCTTGCCTATGATTTTAAATAAAGCTTGCGCTTAGCTGGTGTTACATGCCCGGCATGTCGTTATCAACGTAACGGGCGGGCATAGGTCTGAGCCCTGCCCTTCTGGCTCCCATCGCTGCTCCCCATGTTCCATTGTATCAGTGTAGCCATCTGGGCCGAGGTGTCTAAACCGATGTGTTTCTAACGGACCCCGGGTTCCTACATCAGGAGGCCTTGCCGTCACACTTTCCGGCGGCTGCTGGTCGCACACGGACGAGCGCACGCAAACAAACCGCCTTCTGGAGGGAAACAGGGTGGACGTGGCGGGCATGATTGACTAGGGTTTAGGGCGGGGCGTCGGGGGGAACAGAGGGGACACTGGGGGTTGCCGAGGGTGGCGGCGAGAGGGAAAATCCCCACCTGCGCCCGGTGACCCGCGGGTCGCGAGAAAATCTCCATCGTCCGTTGCCGCACCGCCTCCTCAATGCTCGTAACCATGCTCGCCACGTCATGCCCTAGGTCAAAGACGACGAAGCCGCCACCACCATCGCCGCCGGCATCTGCACCCTGGTGGTGGTGGTGGTGCTGCTGGTGCTGCTGCTCTCTATCCGCCACCGCCGCGGCGGCGACGGTGGCGCGAGACCGCGGCTTGGCCAGCTGCTGGTACGGCGCCGCCGCCGCAGCAGCAAAGACCGGGCTGCGACGCAGGTCGTCCAGGCGGAAGAGGAAGAGGCTCAAGCCCACACGAGACAGGACCACATCCAGCACCAAGTCCGACGGTGCCATGGCCGGCGGCGGCGGCGGCGCCGCCACCGCCATCGACTTGCCGTACAGCATGCAAACGCCCAACACGCACGCTGCAAGGCCGCACAAGACCGGGTCGCCGCCAGTACCGCCGCCGCTGTCGGCGCCGCCGCCTCCGCTGGCTACACCGCCGCCGCCGGGCCCTGACGTCCCGTAACCAGATCCACCAGCAGCGGCACGTGCGCGGCGCCGTCCAGCAGCGCCGCTACAGCGGCAGGGCAATCCTTGAGCCACACCAGCAGCACACGCAGCAGCGTGCAGACCACCAGACGCGACAGAGGGTCCGAGGAAGGCGGCCGCAACGCCGCAGTGAGGTGTCGAAGCAGCCTGAGAGGAGGCAGGTAGGGTAGGGTAAGGGATAATGTCGGCTGTGGGATAATGTCGGCCACGTAAGGCACATGCTGATACATATCCAGAAGAGAAAAGACCTTGAGATGAGAGAGATGTGAAATTGGATGAGATGTGGAATTAGATGGTCCTTACAGCCATGTCGGCTGGGTTGGTAGCTATCTCGAAAGGTGTTGACTTGGCTGCTCCCAAGGGGTACACACGCGCACCTGAATTACTCTGGCCGGTCTCCTAAACGTTTTTTTTTGTTAATTATTTCATTGGCCACGTAAAATAAGCATTGCGGGGGCAACGTCGCAAAGACGAGGAGGTAAAGGTACTGGGTGACGGGCGACCGCTCAGAAACGGTTTGTCGTACCTGGGCATCAGTCGGTCCGGAGGAACCCCCGGCGCTGCCGGCGACTCCAGGGGCGTCACCAATAGCCGCTGCTTGGCTGCCGTACTGCCACTGAGCAGGTGCTGTAGTACACCGGCAGCGCGGCAAGTGACCAGCAGGCCGTTGCTGCTGCTACTGCTGCTACCGCTGCCGCCGGTGCCGTACCGGGTTCCGCTGCCACCAGGGGCAACGATGGCTGATCCACCGGCAAGTAGTCCGGCCACCAAGTCCTGTCCGAATGACCCATGGGTCGATGGAGCATTTCCGTTCGCAAGGTTATTGCTGCTGCCATAGTGGTGCTGCAGATGGTACGGTTGCTGTGGCTGCGACGGCGACGGCTCCGTGGAGGCGCCTATGGACGCCGCCAGCGACGTCTGGCCGTCGACGTTGCCGCGGCAGTAGCACGCGATGAGGTGATCCGCTGCGGCGCGTTCCGCTTCATCGGCGCCATTCAACACCACACGCAGCGCGGCCGTCAGCGCCGGCACTGCCTCGGCTACCGCTGTCGCAGCCAGGGGGCCCTGCCCGCTCCATCCAGCCCGTCCGCTGCCGCTACCCCCGCCGGCGGCAGCGTCTGTCCGGACGGCCGTACAGTCACGCGCGCCAAGCGTTCCTGCGCCGCCGCCAGGCCGTCGACCAAGTCACCTAGGGCGCCCAGCGCGGCGGCGCGCACCGGCGCCGACGGCACGCCGCCGTTCCGCAGCGCCGCCGCCACCAGCGCCTCTAGTGCCCCGGCAGCAAGCAGCTTGGCCTGGTTTGCGGCACGGTTGGCTTTCTCCGTAGCTCGATCAGGGTCGGCAGAGGCTACCTGCGGGGCGCACTGTCCAGGGAGGGGAAAGGCAGACAGACAAACTGACGAACGGAATGGAAGCCGTTCCGGCTGGGCGGCCGGGGCGCATGTTACGCTGGAGGAGTAAGCGCTGAACCCCGCAATCCACGTCCTTTGAATTTCATGTCACCCGATGGGCCTTATGACCGATCCGGGGGACGAGACGGCAGGAAGCGTTCCGTTCGGGCCCTTCTCAACGGGCCCTTCTCCACACTGGCCCCCTCTGCTCCCGCCCCATCTCGACCCCTGGCCCCAGGTCTTTCATCTCCACTAATTTAAGCCGGTCAGGGCCGTGTCGGGGCTGTCTCACCAGCAGCCGGAATGTCTCCAGAAGGGCCAACATGTTTGCCGCCTTCTGCCGCGGCAGCTGCGGCGGCCCCATCAGCGCGTCACTGCCCGCCGCCGCCAGCGCCGCCAGCGCGTTGTGCAGCTCTAGGGAGGGCTCGTCGGCTGCGTCCAGGCCGTGACCGGCTGCGCCGCCGCCGCCCCCGCCGACATTAAGGAACGGAATGGGACCCGCTGCCTGCGCAAAATGGCCGCCACCGGAGGTGACTGCTGCTGGGGCGGTGACGGCGGCGCCAGGCGGTGCCGCTGCCGCCGGCACCGCCTCCGTGAGCAGCTGCGGCAGCATGGCCACATGTCCCATCTCCCGAAAGAGCCTCTGGTTGGCCATGTTTCCTCGGAGCAGGTTGTTCATGAGCTCAATGGCGTCCTATGGGAGGGAGGGAGGGGAAGAGGGAGGGTGGGGAAGAGGGAGGGTGGGGAAGAGGGAGGGGGCCCGAAATGAGCACTGCCTGGGATGCCGTCATTGAGCCACCCCCCTCCCATAGCGTGCATTACAGGGAAGGGAACAGCGACGGCAGCACACTCCCATCCCAGACAACACGCTCGGTTATGGACAGAAGAAGAGAAAAAACACCTATCGGCACGAGTTGGAACGCGACCACTGCCGTACCGTTCCGTTCCTTACCTTCCCTATTGGTTCTCTCAACCCCAATACACACGCACACACGCACGCATACATGCACACGTACCTGCACCACCATGCCACCTCCCAGGCCGCCCTCCTCCCTCAACAGCTCAGCCACGCGGTCAAACGCGCCCTCAAAAGCCGCAATCTTCTGAACCTCGCTGCCGCCACCGGCCCCACCAGCAGCACCAGCACCACCGACCCGTGGGTCAGTGCGAGTCAGAGCGGCTAGCAACAGCAGGGCCTCGTTACGAATGACCTGGGCAAAACCAAAAACACGCAAATGGACGAGCATTTGCCGTTATCAACGCCGCTGCCGGCAGCGTCGTACAGCGACGCTGTACGGGAGATCCCTAACCTAAAAACAACCCTGACGACAACACGGACATGTCACATGATCTGTCGCTCATTCCATAGCCAATGCCACTCATTGCGTTGCCCTCACGCTCCCTCATATGGCACAATTCCCCTCTTCCTACAACTTCCAAGCACCATGACCAGATGTACTAAACTGGCAAAGAATCCGTTAGAGAAGCTCTGAGAAGCTACCAAGCCAATAATAAGCCAACCGCAGCTGGATGCTCACCATGACATTGCATTGCCATCAAAAGTTACGGCCCCGTCCCTCTGTGCTCGGACCGCTCCCAACCTCACCTCAGATCGCTCTCCCAGCAGCTCAGTTAGTCGGACCACACTCATGGGGGTGGCCAGGATCGCCTCCTAAGGGTGAGGGGTGGAGGGGGTGGAGGTAGGGGGGGTGGGGTGGGGTGGGGTGGGGTGGGGGAGCGCAGCCAGAGGATTGGAGGAGGAGGTAATGGGACCACGCAATCAGAAGTTTCCTAGAACAAATAGGAGCCCCGTCAACTTAGAAATCTGGAGATACGGTCGGTCTAGAGCGTCGCGAGAGGGAGGCTAGGAAAAAAAGCGCCGGGAAGTCGACGCCCTACATCTCCTCCCCTATCCACCCCCCCTGTCTCGCATTGTGTGTGTTCGTTGTTCTTCGGACCCCGTTCCCACTTCCCCCGCACGCATGTTTCGCCCTTCTCCTCCTCTTCTCTCTCTCCCGCCAGCTGCATCCCCTCCCCCTGTTTCCCGTCCTCCCCCTCAGCAGTCCCTGGAGCGCCGAACCAGTCAACGCCCCTCGCGGCCCTTCCTGCTGCGTGTGCGTACAACTCCCCTCCCCTCCCCTCCCCTCCCCGCAACCCTTTCCCCCCCTTCCCCCCTGGACTATCTGTCTAGTTCTGGTATCTGCTTCACTCGCCCGTGGTTCGTCTTACACCCCTTCCCCGAGCCCCCTGCCCCACCGACGCGACGGCCCTTCCCCCTCCCCCTCCCCTTACCTGCAGCTTCCCCGCGCAGTGGCTGAGCAGTGACGTCAGCAACTGTACTGCGTGGTACCTCACGTAAAAGTCCGGCACCCCCACGGGCTCGTCCTCCAACAGTCCCAGCAGCAAACCCACGTGCTCACGCTCCCGGGCCAGCAAGTCCGCGTTCAGGGCGGCTGCGGTGGCCTATCGGGGAAGAGGGGTGTGTACGGGTGAGAGGCTTGGGTTTTGCTGTAGGTTGGGTTTTGGCGTGTGGTGAAGGTAGGGTGGGGTTCTGCTGTACTGCACTGACTTCTTGAAGTAGTGGGTTGAAGTTATGTAATGTAATATGATGAGTCGGAAAGCCGTTGGAGCTAACCGCATGCTCACCTCGGCAGGTGTTAGCCCCGGGGGAAATCCCTGTCCATGTGTGTGGTGGGGGAGGTAGTGGGGGTGATCCTGGTGCCGGTCGTGTCCAGGGGCCCCGTCTCCTCCCGGGCCCGTGGTGGCTGCCACCAGGGCCTCCAAGGCGCTCTGCAGCAGCGCCACGTCATCCCGGTCGTCGCGAAGTACGGCAAGTAGTACGGGAATACCCATGGATCCGAACGCTAGCTGGGCCTGTATGGGGAGGGGAGTGAGGGAGGGGGAAAGGGTGGAGGGGGCAGTGGCTGGTGGTGGTGGTGGTGGGTGGGCGGATGGTAAGGGTCAAGGCCGGGAAGAGCGGTTGCTTGGCGTGTGGGGCTTGGGTTGGTTGGTGGGTTGGTGGGTAGTGGGATTTTGTTTGTTGTGCATCACGACGCGTGTGTGTTACAAGCTGTGGGGAGATGGCCGTGGGGATGTGAGGATTGCCCGCATGGGGCCATGCAGGGTTGCTGTCGACCTCTTGCTTTGGCCTTAGGGAATTCGGCCCATCGAAATTTGTCCCTAGCGACGAAGTGAGAAGGTGCTGATGGATTGGAACAGGAGGAGGAGTCGATGGCCTCTGTGTGCATTCTTCCTTCCATGGACGCATGGGAGTCCAGCGAAATAGTTTACAGTGTGCTGACAAACGATCGTCAACCCACTACTTAAAGAAAGAATGGGCACTAGGGAAGAGGGAAGGGGTTGTGACAAGTTGTGGTCTGCAGGTCCCTCCGAGAGGTGGACGCCAGATGGAGTGATAGCGGGAAAAGAGCCGAAGGGCCAGTACTATGAAAATTGCAGCCCAGATCGCTGACCTTTGGATTGTCCACAAGCAAGTCTTTAAGCTGAGACATTGCCTGGCGACGATACTCGGGCAACAGCGAGCCCGAGATGCGCTGCAGCAGCCCCTCGACTTCGGCCTCATCGTTCGGGACAGCTGCATGAAACAAGCAAAGCAACGCTGATAAGTTGTAGCTTCATCATGAACACTCGCAGCTCCTGATAACAAATTTTCGAAGCTGGCGTAGCAATCGGCCGAACCGTCTGACGTCGCAGTTTAGCGCGTATGACGACTTCGCTGCAAATGGTTTGAGCTTACCAGTCAACGCTGATCTTGCCTCTCCGAGCGCTACTCCTGCCACGCCTTTGGCGAGGCCACCCACGCCCTTCGCTAAACGGCCCAGCATCTGTTCAAGACTCAAATTTAAAGAGTGTGTTACAAGAGCAGCATGATATTGCTAGCTGCAAAATAGCGGGGACTTCGGACAAACCAACTAAACCAGTGCTGCATCGCAACATCCAGGTGCAAACGCCTATCCCGAGGCAGAAATGGCAGGAGCTTAAGGGAGGGGCCTCTAATCCAACAAGAAATTCGCACTTTGGGACAATTTGCCCAGGAAAGCAAGCTAGGAGTTTCCCGTACCGAATTAGGATGCAGCACCGAAACCATTTAAAGCGCCGAGACCAAGCTGGCGTGTCAGCATGCAACGAACAACCGCATACTACAGTAAAGCCACAAGCAGCAGATACATGTACAAGAATTTATGGTACAAACAAAGCTTATACATGACTCCGAACAGAACGCCGCAGAAACACAGCCAGGTGGCACGAAACTCCTTGGCATTAGAGGCACGCATTATGACGCCACGGCTGGAGCAAAAAACACGCTTTTTGTGATCCACCTATACACGCCAACTCAAAATGGGAAACAATCAGTAAAATGCGTGTGAAGATTGTCTCCGCCTTTCATGTCCTGCCTAAGCAACTAACCGCCCCGGAAGCCGAACTCAATTTATTACGACAGTACAACTTCATGCGAATTCGATCATTGCCTCACATGTTACGTCAGAAAAACATCCTAGGGTCCAAGTCGCGCGAAAAATGATTTACAAAAACAAATTGCTGCAGGCTGCCTTGGCAAGACGCGGCAGATTGGGGCATCTGCAAAGCCCTAGGCAGAAAGGCACTCGGGCAGCCTTGCTGGGCGGCGCCATCATCTCCTCCTGCCCGCCAATCAGGCCGAGGCCATGGTAATGTCAATATATTCCTGAGGACGGTGCGGCGGAAACGGCGAGAGATGTATTGGTACCGAGGTACGGATGCAGCAGCATCAGCGGGGGCATAAATGGATCTCCCAACTGTGGCAACAGGCTGCTCATGCGGCGAGCATGTGAACATGTATTTGTTCAACTAGAAAACCATGTGCCCATCGTGAGGTGCGCTCGTGTTCGCACCTGGCGGCTGATGCGGCTGTCGTTGTCGCGGTCCGCCTCCTGCACCATGGCGTCCGCCTGGGTAGGAGTCACGTTGAAGTGCTGAAGCGCCGACAAGGACGGACACCACAAGAAGAAGAGGAGGACAGGACGGAATGTTTAGGGCAGGTGGTCAAGGGCGGTTGTTTACATCAAAATGCACGGGACCAGCGCGGACAGGAACAGAGAGGAGCGAGAGGAAAGACAGGGCTCGCAGGATCAAGAAAAAAATCTCCATGTTGTGATAACAAGGAGGGACCGATAAAATAAATGAAGGGTAATTGGTTAGTCCCGAGCCATCTTTTGCACGTAAAGAAAAATTTATTGAGACAGGAGCTCCCATGCTTAAGAGGATACGTTTGTCACTCTGTATTATAATACTGCTATTTACTTCGCGGTCCTCTTTGCGGCCTGATCGGATCACCTTCCATTCCTGCAGCCCCGCAAAACACCCGCCCCTCCGCACCACCACCATGACCACACCCGCACACCTTTTGGAGCTCCTCCACTCCAATGGTATCTCGTTGCGGGTGCTTAATGTCGTCGAATCGTGGCAACTTTTCCTTGTTCTGGCTGGAGAGGATGTACTGCCAAACGGAGGGCGCGTGGCGGCCGCCGCGGGCGTTGTCCATGATCCAGTCTGCACGGCCGCTAAGAATGGGCCGGTTGACCTTCGGCAGGCAAACAGAGGAAGAGGAATGGCAACGCAGAAGGCTGAGGCTGAGTTCCTTACTTGTGTATAAAACTGATTAATGGACATAAATTGTTATTTCATATAATTAATCAATGCACGAGGCGGTCAGATGGTGCTTATCCTAGGTGGCAGCGAGTAGCGAGTAGCGTTGCCACCTACAGAAAGTGTAACGTCGTCAAATTTGGGAGATGCCAAGCCGGTGGTTACAACTATATCATAGAAGGGGACTTGGCGATTTCCCAAGCGTCTGCAAGGCTTTCGGAAAGGCGGCCTGTCAAGTCTCCACCTTGGCGACTGGGAGAAAAACATGCGTCTTTTCATAGAATTAGGATTATTCCTGCGTAACCCTTATAATCAGGGAACTTAAATATACCAAGAAAAATAAGAGAAACCAACCAGCCATTCAGCCACACGCATTTCGACGTACCTTGTGGATGTCACCTATGGTCGAAGTCATAGCAGGCAGGTCGTCCGTTTTGTTGCTAACAGGCTTCGGGGCGTCACTGGTAAGCGGTGTCATGCGGGTCTGCTGGTCGCGCTGCAGCTCCATGGCCTCGACATCGTCGGCCGCCCCGGAGACGAAGTCGTTAAAGGATGGCACGTAGTGCAGCCCGGTGTGACCACGAACGGCCGAAGAGAGCATGTCGGTGAGGCCCATCGTTACCCGGTGATGATTGATGTGCCTGCGAGTCGCGTTTGCCGAGGGGTTCTGGAACAAGTGAGTTGCGAGCGTTCTGTCGTCCGCTGCGGCTGGCGCCTTGGCACCATGCGACAGACGAATTACTTAAAGCTTAAATACGACGTATGCAGAAATGTCTCAAATTTCGGATAGCGGTACCCAACGGCCCTCAGCCATCGACACTTAGGCCGTTCCGGCGCACCTTGCAACTTGTCGACACTAGGCTGGGAAGGCAATTGGACTCGCCTCTTTGGGAGATACTTATGTCAGAGTAAACAGGTTTTGGAATGAAGCCAAGAGGGCAGCTCGTCGATTTCATTTCTCCGCGCATTGGGCCCTGCTGCGTCAGCCGGGGGGCAGCGGTTAAGCGCTGTCCTGCAAACTTTTCCACGTATGCAAGTACAGATTCTTTAAGCGCATTATGTTTTTTTGTGTAATTATAATAACTTAAACCCCACTCTTACAATGAAAACAAGATGCAACGACAACTTGGAACCGTCTTATGTAAAGCAAGAAGGCTTCCAAAACCAAGAGTAACCAACCAGAGGTTGCTTAACTTGCATGGAAAAAATAATTCTAGGGATACCAATACTTAACAAGACTGCTGGCTGCATGAGGGACCCAAGGGTCGCACGCAACGCTGTATCTTCACCCGGCGGAACGCACTCATCTTTTTGGTAACATAAGTGGTTATCCACCGTAAATTCTCCTGATAATGACACTCGTCGCCTTCGCTGAAGGACGAGGACGACGGCTAGAAATGGAAGATCCTTGTGTAGTGCATTTAGTGACACAACACGGCGCTGTTTGTAGGATAACAAACAAAATATGAAATTTTTAATATTATGTGAGGTTTGGGGGTTGTTGTGATGTTGAGTAACTCAACTTGAGTTGTTGACCATGAAGCTAACCGTAAGGCGGTTAATTCGGTTCGTTGCTGAGATGAAGTGATAATGGCTTTTGCCAAAGGCTTAGGGTACGAGGCAACTGTAGAATTCTGGCCTTAGCAGCTGTTTTGAAGTGGGTTGCAGAGCTTAAAAGGGTTGGTTCAGCAAGTCACGCAGCCGGACGGGCAAAGATCCCAATTTCACAAGGCTAGAAGTTACAGAGAGCTAATAATTTAATACCTACAAATTATATTGAAGGCTTGCCTTAAGGACTGCTCGTGCGTGCGACGGAGCTGAATTGAGGCTTGCACGCCTTTATATCGCTGGTGCGCAGAAATGTCTCCACAATAATAACATAATAATCTATATTTATAATATATATTAGTATCCAATCTCAATCTTGTGGTTGTAAGGCGACCTGCGCTATGCTTGAGCAATTCTCGGCCAGCCACAAGACCGGAAATACGTCCAGACACCGCGGGGTCTTTAGCCCCAGAATAATCATCATTGCTGACAAACCCAATATTTGAACAGCATTATCCGTTCGCTGGCCTCAACTTGACCCGCCGACCCCCGCCCTTTTTGCTTTCATGGCCACATCCGCCTCCGCCAACTCTGCTGCTGGTGCGCCTACCAGTACCATCATGCCGGCTGCAGCCCGCCGACCCTCCCACAGCAATAGCGGCGTCTCCCGAGCCGCTTCGCGGCAGCCGCTTGCCGTCCGCGCCTCCGCAAATGCCGTGCCGCACTCCGTACCCAGCCCCGTCCTCGTCCCCCCTAACCTACAAGGCCGTGCTCTTCCTCCTTCCACTCCGCCGCTGTCGGCCTCTTCCGGAGGCTCCGTACGCCGCGTGCTACATGGTTACCGCGCCAGCAGCGGTCCCCGCCACGCCCATCGTCGGGTGGCGCCCGCTGCCGTACCGCCGTCCGCCGCCACCACGCTACTCATGACGCATCCCGCCGCCGCCGGTTTCAGCAGCACGGGCAGCTACGCGAGCAGCGTGGACGAGCAGGACGAGCAGCCGTACGACATGGATGAGGAGTTGGCGCCGCCGCCGGACCTGCCTGTGCCGCGAGGTGTGTATGCGTTCGTACGCGCCCCATGCAACCGTATGAGCTCTCTCCGGGGTCGGGGGGTGAGAAGTGGGGAATGGGACGTGGGGGGCATTGGAGGAGGCGCCTCCCCAGGAGCAGTACTCCGCATCAGATGGGGCCTGGGTGTCAGCCTCACTCAGCCGGGTGATCCCTCACTCACTCGCTCTCCTCTTTACTCCTTAACCATCATCATCAACAGCAGCACTAGCAGTAGCACTAACAGTAGCACTAGCAGTAGCACTAGCAGTAGCACTAGCAGTAGCACTAGCAGTAGCACTACCAGTAGCACTAGCAGTAGCAGCATTGGCAGCATCTGATTCCCATCTCCTCCAGTTCTCCTTGCGTTCGCTACCGGCACCACCATCATCACCACCGCCGTGCACCTCCAAATTTCTTTCCACCCCCATTGGCGAACCCCCCCCTGAACTTCGTTCCCTCCGAACCTTCTGTCCGATGTACCTCTCGTACTGATGTCTTCCTTTTCCCCTGGGGGGGGGCGGGGGGTGTTACAGGCGAGACGGCTGGCGCTACTCTGATCCTGGAGGGGGTGACCGTGCAAGCGGGAGACCGAGATCTGCTCAGTGTGGGTAGGGGTCGGGTTGGGGGGGGGGGAAATTAGCCGTCTGGAGAGTAGTGGAGTGTGTGTGTGTGTTTGGCTGGTAAAGCTGGCAAGGCTGTTGAGGCTGTTGGATGTTGGGTGGAGAGGAAGTTAATGGAGGGGAGGGGAAGAGGGGGAGGGGAGGGGAGGGGAGGGGAGGGGAGGGGAGGGGAGGGGAGGGGAGGGGAGGGGAGGGGAGGGGAGGGGAGGGGAGGGGTCACTGTGAGAACTGTGTGTGTGAGTGTGTACGACGGGAAGTGGAGGGAAAGGGAACCCGAACAAGCGGCGGAGCCCGAACGAGCGGCGGTTGGGGGGCCGCCTCCGAGGGGCAGAGGCGGGAAACCACCGGAGGATTGCCGTACGACGACGGCGACGACGATGACGACACGATTGGCGGAACGAAGCTTTCAGATGGTGCTCTCGTACAGTAGTGTGCGTGTGCGTGTGTGTGTGTGTGTGTGTGTGTGTGTACATACACATACACACACACGTCTTCATTTGGCAACCTCCCCTCCCCCACTCACAGGATGTGTCGTGGCGACTGATGCCAGGTCAGCGAGCTGGGTTAGTTGGGGCTAACGGTTGCGGCAAGAGTACGCTGCTGCGCTGCCTGGCCGGGCTGAGACATGTGGACGCGGGAATGGCGCGAATTTCACATACCGTACAGGTACGGCAATACGATAATGAGCACAATATTTGTCGCTCGATAGGTGACTGAGAATTGCATACAAAAGCTGCGCGATTCTTTATCTTTATCAATTCACCGAAAGAATCAATTCACGTAAATCTGTGCGCGAAGATAGCTTCCCGCGGGCCATGGCTTTGGCTTCCCAGTCGGGGCCCCCGGCCTCAAAGCGCATTCTCAACTCACCATCACAAATCCACCACACCAACAGCCACAACCACGTCAGCAACAATGAAACATACATACATACATTACCGCTCAGCTCACCGCCACACACTCGGCCACACTCCAGCAGCCCATACATGCCAACTGCTGCTCCGGCAAAACAATCGCATTCTGCACTGGGGCCGTTTTTGGCCTACTCTTGGCCCTTTTTGCCTTCGAAGAAGCTGATTAACCCAACTATATTTCTTATATGGTAGTACGACAGTGCGCGCCACGTCACGGGGGAACGACGATGAGAACATCATATATGATTGCATCCACATCCACAACCAAGCAACCTGTCGGATCCCGAGGGCGAGGGGGATGGTTGCGGTACTCCTTGATCGTATTTGCCGTGCGTTCGTACTTCCGTACTTCCGTACGTCCGCAGGTGGGATACCTGGAGCAGACTGCGGTGGGCGGCAGTCGTCGTACAGTTTGGCAGGAGGCCCGCAGTCGCATGAGCGGGTTAGTGGCTGCGGAGCGGGACATGCAGCGGGCCGAGCGGGAGCTGGCGGCGGGTGAGGAAGCGGGGGGTTGGTTTTAGGGTTGATTGTGTGTGTGTGTGTGTGGGGGGGAAATCCAGGTAATTGTCGGGGCTGCGCCTTGTAGCTGTTCACCTGCTTCCACCTCCACTTCCACTTCCGCTTCCGCGTCTTCGTAGTTCTCTGTCTAACGGAGGAGCCAACAGCCCCACCCCGGGGCGCAAAACCCCCGCAGGCGCTCCACTCGGCCCGCGCCCACACATATCACCACCACCATCACCACCACCACCACCACCACCTAACAAGAACAACGACCGCAACAAGAACAACCACCACAACCATCACCAAACCATCACCACAACAACAACCACAACAACTAATACTAGACTTGTGCTGCAACGTCGACGCCGGCGACAAAGACACAGCCCGCACCCCCCTCCCCTTCCCTCTCACACAAACATACGAATGCACACAAACACCCTTTACTCACACACACCGTACATATACATACGTACGTACACGTCCCCTTTCCACGCCCACCCACACCTACACTCACCCACCCACACACTCACCCACCACACCCACCCAACCCCAACCCCACCCACACACCCACACCCACACCCGTTCAGGGGACACATCAGCCGCCGCCCGCCTCGCAGCCGCCCAGGATGCCTGGGAGCAGGCAGGCGGCCCGGAGAGTGAGCGCACCATCACTGCCGTACTGACGGGTTTGGGGTTCCGTCGTGAGCAGTTCCACAAGCGGTGCAGTGAGTTCAGTGGGGGATGGCAGGTGTGTACGTGAATGGGGGGGGGGAAAAGAGGGGGGGAGACCCCTCTCGGGGGGCGGGGGGGAATTAAAAAGAAAAGGCGAATGAGGGAAATGTGAGACGAGGAGAAATATGCAGGGAAGCGCTATTCTTCAGCTTAATACGGGAGCTCCTTTCCCTACGAGGAATAAAGCAGTTTCAATCAGCTTATACTGCTTAAGCGCTTCCTGACCGTGTGCGTCACCACGGACCCCCGGGGAAACCCCTTAGCGCATACACACGCACAGCACACGCACACACAGACGCACACGCACACGCACACACACACGCACACACGCATGCACAGATTTCCCCACTTTCAATACCAATTTGGTTTAATAACCTCCCCGGATATAAAAGTTAAATTAAATCAACCCCAAGGTCCACTCCCCACTCAACCTTGCTTGTGCAGATGCGCATCGCTCTAGCGCGGCTCCTGCTGGGTCCCGCGGGTCAGGGCGGTTCCGGAGCGGGTGCGTTACTGCTGTTGGACGAGCCAACTAACCATCTGGATAGGTACGTGTACGCCATTTTTGGCTTGTAACGGGTGTATATATATACATGCTGAGCGCTTCTTAAGGAGACTGTGGAGGCGAACGTGCGAAGGAGTTAGTTGGAATGGTTAGGGGTGGTTGGGGGTAAGTGAGGCTGAGAGGAAGCTCCTAGTCGGGGTTGGGCGAGATGCGGGGATGGTAGAGCGGTGGCCTCTCTCCACCAACCTCGGGAGGCGCTCACATTACATGCGAAACCCATAAAACCCGCCTAAAACCCTGATTTACACCCCCTCTCCCCCCCTCCTAAAACCCCGCTCCTCCTCCGTGCAGCGCGGCCTGCAAGTGGCTGGGCAATTTCCTCCGTACGGGTGTACCGCCCACGACCTCTGTCGTACTGGTGTCTCACGACGAGGCCTTATTGGAGAGCGCGTGCGACCGCATTGTGGAGGTCCGGGGCCGTCAGCTGCACGGCTACGTGGGAGGTTTCCGCAAGTTCTTAGAACAGCGGGCGGCCCGGGAGGCGCAGGCTCGAGCGGGTGAGCGAGTTGACTGCTGCCTGGGACAGGGGCAGGGGCAGGGAAGGGAGGAGAAGGGGGCGGAGGAGGGGGGAAAAGAGCGAGGAACCACGAGCGAGGGAAGCTGCTGGGGGAGGGGGGAGAGGGGGGAAAGCTCCGCGGCACGGGATTGAAAAAGATATGGAGGTGAGAAATGGTGAGGTGCGTGTGGGTTTTACAGGGTTTTGTAGAGCACTTGTCGGAAGGGGGGTAAGGGGAGCTGCCACCCCCCTCAAGGATATTCTGTTTAGAGTACGTTGGTTCCGATTATCAGTTACAACCCCCCTCTTCCCCCCCAAACACACAAAACACATACACGCACAACACATACACATACACACGCACACCCTCCCTCTCTCCACGTACAGAGGCTGAGGCCCAACAAGCGGAAATCGACAAGTTGGAGGAGTTCGTGACGCGTTTCGGAGCCAAGGCGTCCAAGGTGGGAGGCAGAGGGGGCGGAAGAGCGCTGGCGGCGGCGGTGGTGTTGGTGTTGTACTTGTACGGCGGTTTATCCAGATGCACATGTGTCGTACCCTCTTTCCGGTGTTAACGCTACACTACTGTGTTTTACTCTTACAACGCACGCACACACACGCGCACACACACGCGCACGCGCGCGCCTTCCGAACCCCGTTGCTCCCTCCTTCACTTCCCCCTCTCCCTCCCCCCGCGCTCTCCCCTCCAGGCCTCCCAAGCCCAGTCCAAGGCCAAGATGTTGGAGAAGCTCAAGGCAGCGCAAACCGAAATCCCGGCAGCGGCGGCGGCCACCGGGGCAGGGGACGCGCGCAAGGTATTGCTGCGGACAGATATACAGACAGACAGACAGACAGACAGGCAGATATGCACTCTCATACCGGATACCACCAAAGATGCATTCTACTAACATAATGTTATTTATTCGCGTGTGCGTGTGCGTGTGCATGTGCATGTGCGTGTTTCTCCCCTTCCCCCGTCTCAGTTACACACGGACTCTCCCCCCCATCCACCTGGCAATCACCCGCCTCTCTCCCCCTCCCCCCAAAAAACTCCTCACCCCCTCCCACTCTTACACTCTTACACTCTTTCCTTGGCAGCAGCTCGTACACTCTTTCCTTGGCAGCAGCTTCACTCGTTCATGGTTCGTCTTTCCCTCCCTCCCTCCTCCCTCCCCTCCCTCCCCTGCCCTTATTCGTGTCAGGTGGCGCTGAGGCTCCCCCGCGCCCCCCCTTGCTACACGGAGGCCATAAAGCTCAGTGGGGTGGCGGTGGGCTGGGGACCCGCACCCGCACCCCCGGGGACACCGACGCCGGCGGAAGCTGGGGCCCCGGTGACGGGGGGGGAGGAGGCTCCGAAACCACTGCTTAGCGGCATCAACCTGGTCATCCGGAGGGGCCAGCGTGTGCTGGTGCGTATGGATGTGCGTATGGATGTATGTGTGTATGGATGTATGTATGGATGTGTGTATGGATGTATGTATGTGTCTATGTATTTGTTACATAGTGATCCGGGCCTGACACTGGCCAGGGGAGGCAATTAACCGTATACCCCAATGGGAACGGTTACCGCCGAAGCACTCGCGCCCCTTGCGGCGGGAGGAGAGGGGCGTGAGGGGTCCCCACAGTCCCCTAATACTGGTCGACCGAGGGCCTGCGCCCCCCCCAATCGCGTTTCTCCCTTTTGTCGAGATGAACGAGAGCGCGGTGGCTAGCCACCAGGGCCCCCTCAAACAGCCAACCAACCTCAGCACGCGCGCTGCGGCACAGATCCGCCCATGCAGCCTGCGCCTTCCGCGGCTGTACCCCCCCTGTCTGTGTGTGTGTTTATGCGTGACGCCCCTCTTCTCTCTTGAGATCATTCAAAATAACCCCACCAGCTCACTTCAGTTCACTTCAAAGAGCGGAGTCCAGGCCCCCTCGTGCTCCCGGAGGTTCCGAGGGAGCTGAAGGGAGTTGTGTCGAAGTCGACTATTGTGTGTGTCTGTGTGTGTATATCAGGGTTCCCCCCCTTCGCATTTTTCCTCGCTGTGTTGCACATTTGGTTGTGTTGAACACTCGCCCCCGCCCCCCGCCGCGACCTCGGGTAGGATTCTCATGCTTGCACCGCGTTTTGCGTTTTGCCGCCGGGAGCAGCGGGAGCGCTTGAGTGCGGTGCTGTGAACAGCTCACTGCTCACCGGCGGTTCACATGCTTGCCGGTGTGTTTTTCCCGCCTCGCCCCCTGGGAAGCCCCCTCCCCCTTTCCTTGTTGATCCCTTTTCCCCCTCCCCCTTAACATTAACCCCCCCAACCCCCCCAACCCGCCGTACAGGTGCTAGGTCCCAACGGCGCGGGCAAGTCAACCCTCTTGAAGGCCATCGGGGGCTCCCTGCCGCTATGGGCGGGTAGTCGTACACTGGGGGATGGAGTACGACTGGCCGTGTTCTCCCAGGACCTTGCGCAGGTCGGTCTCTCTGTGTATGTGTGTGTGTGTGTGTGTGTGTGTTAAAAAGGGGAGTGGGCATGGGGGAAGAGTGTGTGTGAGTGTGTGTGTGTGTGTGTGTGTGTTAATGAATCGTAGCGGTTGCTCCAAAAGGTGAAACCACCACAACGGTCACATAACGGCCTCAAGTGGACCGCCACAGTTGGATGGACAGACAGACAGACAGACAGACAGACAGACAGACAGACAGACAGACACAGAAAGGCAGAGAGAAGAGGGAAAGCTGCATGCGGCCGTGTGTATGTGGGCGGAGCGTCCTGAAGTGATAACGTCGTCTTAATACCAGTGTGATATCAGTACTGCAACTACTGCTGTTGCAATTGATGTCGTTTCTGTTGTCGTATACCATCAATCACGACTGTCAAACACAAACCCCGGGGGGCCCCCAAAACACACACACACAGGATTTGCCTCTGGACGTGCCTGCCCTTGACTACGTGGAGGGAGTTGCTCGTACCAACGACCCGGGGGTCACTTTGGAACGATGTCGTCAGGCGCTGGGGGCGCTGGGGCTCACAGGGACCATGGCGCTGCAGAAAATAGGTATGTGTATGTATGTATGTGTGTATGTGTGCGTGTGTATGCGTGTGTGTGCGTGTGTGTGTATATGTATGTGCCTCTACACACACACACACACACACACACACACGCCTCATCACTTGCGACAAGCCACCAGCGCCCACCCCCCACGTCCTGTCCTTCACGTGACGTCCGCCACTGAAGCTTCGTGCTCCCCCAAACCCACCCACATCACCAAAAAGGTAATTTCTGCCCCCCTCTGGCCCCTCTCAAGTACTAGGGCCGGATCAGCTTTATAACCAACGGACCTTATACCACTCTCTCTCACTCTCACCCGCTCTCAACAGCGTGTGGCTCTGTGTTGAGCGGGCGGGTACAGAGGCCCCCCTCGCGCCCCTCCTCTCTCCCGTCCCCGGGGGAGAGCTTAGAGGCGGTCTTTCCGTTGGGGCAGCAGCCCCTGTGGCCGGTGTCGTCAGGCCCGGTCAGATATGTTGTAACACATAAACACACACGCCTATACACACACACACACTCACACACACGCACTTCCCGGCAGGTGTGCTGTCCGGCGGCGAGAAGGCCCGAGTGGCTCTGGCCGCCTTCGCCCTGGTACCTGCCAATGTACTGCTGCTGGACGAGGCATCCAACCACCTGGACGCGCAAACCATCGAGGTGTCTGGAGGGGAGCTCTGGAGGGATTTGGGGGGGTTTCGGTGGCTTCGGGGCGGCGTTGGGGGGCCCCCATATCTTTTGGAGGGGGCCCGGGGCGAAAGCGAGGGGAAAAGTGTTGTACGTGTGTATATACACAGCTATACACACGTCCTGAAGCGCACACGCTCGCTCAGCCACGCTCAGCTCTGCTTTGTCGCCTCCTCCCTGAACCTTCCGGAGAAGGGGAACCGCATCCCCTCCTCCTTCACCTCCTCCCTCCCCTCCTCCTCCTCCCTCCCCTCCTCCCTCAACCCCTGCGTGTTGTTGCTGTTGTTGTTGTTGTTGCCATTGCTGCAGGTCCTCACGGGCGCACTCCGCGACTTCAACGGCGTCATCATCGCCATCACCCACAACCAGGTGCCACGACGGATGCTGCGCCGGACTGGGAAAGGGGGGGGGAAAATGGGAGTGTGTGTGTATGTGTGTATGTGTATAAGCGTGTGGTGGTCTGGCGTGCGTTCGTCGAAGTGACCTCCTTTCGCCGCCCTCAACGAAAAACGATTTCCCTCCCCACACAACCCTCCGCAGCCGGGTACTTGCCTCCCGTGCTTGTACGACACACGAAATTACTGAAGTGCATACACGCACACGCACATGGCTCGCATATGCAGTGCACGGATGAGTATACTCTGGCCGGGTATGCTCGTCCCATCTCAAACCCCACTTTCCCCCCCCCAACCCCCCAACCCCCGTCCGCCACCTCAGGCCTTCGCAAACTCTCTCAACGCCACTCACATTCTTAGAGTGGGCAATGGCACTGCGAAGCTCACGGACAACCTGGGACTCTCAGCCAAGGACTTTGAGCACGGACCCGCCACTGCGGCGGCAGCGGGGGCGGCGGCGGCCGCCAGTAAGACTGGCGGCGGCGGCGGCGGCGGCGGCGCGGCCGCCTCGTCCTCTGGGTCGGCATCCGGAAAGAAAGGCAAGGCTGCGGCAGCACCGGCAGCGACGGCTCCGCCGCCCCCTCCGCCGGCGGCAGCGGCAGCGGCAGCGGTAGCGGCGGCCCCCAAGCCCAAAGCCAAGCGTACGACACTAGCGTACAAGGAGCAGCTGGAATATCAAGTAGGGAGTGGGGAGGGTGGGAAGGAAGGGGGGTGAGTTAGGGGTGTCATTAGTGTGTATGCCGTAATTGTCGTACCTGCTTTACGAGCAAACCCGAGAAAGTGTTTTAGTGCGCACACACCTTTCCCCGTCAGGCGGCCAACAAGTTCCTTAGGTGTTTTAGAAGATTACACCTATCCGTTCTTTTTGTTCCCTGCGACTGTGAACGGACTTAACTGGTTATAAATCCTGATAATCGTTTTCAATTCCGTTTCCTTTCTTATCTTATCGCGTGACTAGGGTGAGGCTGGATGAGGGTGCCCCCCGAAATACCGGGGAAGAGGCAGGGTTTCGCCGGGTAGCAGCCACGGGTGAAGATATGACCACCCCTGTCCCACACATCATACATACATACATACATGACTTGAACTGAAGGTTGATGAACTGCGCAAACCTCGGTCCTCTTCGGCATCCTGTAGAAGCTAGGGAGGGAGTTGGAGACGCTCGGGAGGCGGAGGGAGCAGATTGACCAGCAGCTAGCGACGGCGGCTGCTGCTGGTGGTGGTGCTGGTGGTGGCAGCAGCAGCAGCAGCAGCAGCAGCAGCTTCAGTGAGATCGAACGACTGAGCAAGGAGCTCGCCAAGGTAACATGGAAAGCCGAGTATCCAGTGGGGGGGAGAGAAGCCACTGACCGGCACATCGTGATGCCCGGGACGAGGAAGAGGATACCTCCGGGAAGAGGGAAGTGTAGCACAACACTGTGATGACTGTGATGGGCGGTCATGGTTTTTTTGGGGGGGAAAAGGATGAGCCCAAGATATATAAAAGTGTTATTATTATAAATTTCAAACCTATTCATAACATCTTTCTTCTTGTGGTGCTCCTTTTTGTCGCTCTCGTCGTGATCCCCGAACCAACCACTCTAAGACGTGGCCCCCTTGAGCAGTGCGGGTGTGTGCGGGTGTGTTTTATAATGTGTGAGCCGCGATGTACCCCGGGTAAACGAATGGCCGTACCGATGCGTATGTGTGCGTGTATGTATGTATGTATGTATGTGTACCAGTACAGAATACACCTCTTCCACCTCCTACACCTCCTCCAACCAGCCAGCAGGGGTTCCCCCCCAAGTTTGTCGTGCATGTGTCACGACGACGACGACGACGATGACGACGAAATGAGATCCAGATTCCTGTTATTATTAAATGCATGTACGTTATGACTGCCGTACGTGATGACTGGCGTACGGCACGTGGGTTGGTAACGGTTGCAGGTCTCCGAAGAGCTGGAGGAGAAGGAGTTGCGGTGGTTGGAGCTGGCGGAGATCGCGGGCGACATTTGATTGGTGCAGAAGCTACGCTACTTGGATCCGACTTGGATCCGACTTGGATCCGACTTGGATCCGACTTGGATCCGACTTGGATCCGACTTGGATCCATGGCATGATGGCATCTGATTTCGTTTCAGATATAGGGGTGTGTGTGGGTGGGTGGGTGTGTGAATGTGTGTGTGTGTGAAAATACGTGTTTGCACGTGGAGGGAAGTGACACGGTGGAGGTGGAGAGAGATAAGCTGTGAGACGGTACGGGACTACGTCGTGTTGCGAGTCGAGAAGTAGATGTACAGCGCTGCTGCTGTACGACTGCTGGTCGCGATTGAGCTGTGTGAGAATGTGTCACGTGGTCGTTAATTAGCTCGGAAAAGCTAAGCTAAAATGATTGTTTTTCTGGTGATGTGGTGTGTGGGTGCCCGCTGGCGTGTGGGTGCCCGCTGGCGTGTGGGTTTTTGCGACGGTGTCGCCAGCCGGGTGACGTGGCCTTCTGGGGAGAGAGCGATCTGCAGCACATTGTACGGGGTGATCTGCATTGTACGGCATTGGGGTGGTAGTGGTTAGGTAGTGGTTAAGGCTGGCAGTTGGGGGTGAGTGTTGTGTGTGGGGGGGGATGCGATGTCTTGAGGGCCATGGTGGTGATTATGGAAGGTTGTGATGGTGTCGCTATCGAGCTATGTGAGGATGCGGGGAGGGGGTTCAGCGGGTTCAGGTATAGCGCCTTCGCGTGTTTTTGTGTGTGTGTGTGTGTTTGTGTGTATGTAATATCTGTTACATATCGATTCAGGCCTGAAGCTGGCCAGGGGGGCCACCTAACCGTATACCCCAACGGGAAGGAGCGACCGCCGGAGCACTCTCCATCATTGGAGGGGCGTTATGTCGGTCAGAATCCTAACCTTGCGTCACACAAGTTGTGTGTGTGTGTGTGTTTTACCTAAGGTGTGAATTCCGGTGCTTGCGTGTGCCTCTGAGAGAGAGTGGAATCCTGATGTGGGTCAGGTGTACCAGGTACTTTGCTCTGGTCTGTTTTGGAGACGTTTCAGACGGTGGTTAGCTGAGGTCCTAAGCTAGTTGGGTGCAGCAGCAGGGCCGGCGTTGACCTTGTTCGCGTGAAGAAAAATGTTAGGGTGCTAGAGATTCAGATAAAATATGCGTGATGCTAGCTGAACTTGGTTCCCTCGGCTTTCACATAGTTGGCCATTTGCCGTAAAGGCGACTTGATCTGCCTTGTGGTTGTAACTGCCGTGGCGATATCTGTAACTATCCCGACATCGTTTTGCATACGCATAGGCAGCTGTCATCACGCATCTTTTCATTTTATGCGACATAGATAGGTGTTTACGAAGTGCTGAAAACCATGTTTTCGCTTTGACACGCAAGTTCGACTTTTTAATCACTACAACTCCTGCTCTGCTGGCTTGCTAGGCTTGATCTACAGATATGGCACAGAACGTGCTTTTGGAGACGGTTGTGCCCGCTTTGGGCGCGGTCGTCTCGACAGCCATGTAAGGCTTCGCGCGCCAGCAAGCTACACAATTCAGATAGCACACGGAAAAGTTGATTCAGCAAGCTTTTTATCCTTGTCAATTTTCGTTGATCTGTGGCAATCGTCCACTGGTGTCGGGTTTTGGGTACGCAGGTATCTTTCACCGTTGAAGGCCGTCCTCCGCGCTTCACGAGAAAAAAGCTTGGGCGTAAGATACATTGCAGTTTCAGTTTGGGCTTCATGCCAATCCATGTCAACGTATTTCCTTGTGCTCCGCAGGAGCTGAACCCCCTGCCCTTTGGCGTGACCATTGCCAACTGCATCGCATGGCTCGGGTATGGCCTCCTCAAGCACGACCCGTTCGTCACGGCGCCCAACGCGGCAGGTGTCCTCATCGCCGTGTTCATGACGTTGACAGCATTTGGTCTGGCTGACGATACAGTGAGTTCCCAACACCTTGTTCCCCCGCCCTCACACCCTCACCCCGCATCCTCACGCCCGTTACTCCCCGACGCGTTACGTTATGGCAGGCTCAACACAAGATGCGATTCGTGGTCTGCCTGACTGCCGGTGTGATGCCGCTGCTGGGTGTGTTTACCACCTTCGGTACCAAGGACGTTAAACTGCAGCAAGGACTATGGTGCGTGTACCAGACCGTCCCTATCTCCCCACACCTACTAACCCTCCACCTACATCTACTACCACCGACTGTAGCTCGCTAGCTGCTTGCGCGGACCTGCTGGCCAGCTCGTCCACACATCCATCTACCTACCTACCCGATAATCCATCTATCCACCCATCCATCCATCCATCCATCCATCCATCCATTTACAAACTGATTCATCAAGTCACCGTCAAGTCCATGAAGACTGATTCGCCCATTCGCATATCCAGTGCGGGGGGCAGGATCATCCGCGGTCGACCGACCTGCAGTGCAGCATTGCACTGCGGCGCCTCATGATGCATCACACGATTACGGACCAAGCGCACATGAAGTGTATGTGGTTGCGTGTGCATGTGTGTGTCTTAACGAATTGATCCATACCGCATGCGTGTGTGCATATGCATATCGCGCGCGCGCGAGCGAGCGAGCGAGAGGAGATGAGGAGGAAAGAGGTGAAGGGAGTGGGTTAAGTGGATAGCGCCTGCGGTTGCAGTGTTAACCGCTCCCTCCCTCCTTCCCTCTCCCCACCTCCCCATCTCTCCCTCCCCGCCTCCCTCCGCTAACCCAGGGGCCTGGCCGGGAACGTCATTTGCCTGATCTACTACGCCGCCCCGCTGTCTACCATGTGGGAGGTCATCCGCACCCGCAACTCGGCATCCATACTGGTGCCGCTGACCATGGTGGGTCGGGAGAGGAAGGGAGGGTAAGGGAGGAGGGAAGGGCGGAGAAGGGGGTGTGAGGAGGATGAGAAGAAGGGTGACGAGGAAGGGGTGTGTGTCAGTAAAGGGGTAAGGAAGGAACCCAAGGCCTCTAGGTTGGGAGCGGAACAGGAGGGCTGGGATGAGGGGCGGTCGAGACGCGCGGGCGGACTTAAAAGAGATGGATAGAGGGATGAGCTGAGGTGTGATGTGTAGTAGCTTGGGGCTTCTTAGTTCGGAACAGTGGTGGTGTTGGGCGCGTAACGAAAAGGGGGAAAGGGGGTGCGTGGAGATGTGGTGGCCTTGTAAGGTGCGGTGCGGCTGTAGGTTGGCGTGTGGGGTGGGTTGGCGCTTATGTGTGAAGAAGTTAACCGCCGGGGTTGGGGGTTGGGGGGTGGTGGGGGTGGTGGGTGGGGGTTGGGGGGTTGGGGGGTGGGGGGTGTTTGAGATTTTGCCTTGGATGATGAAAAGCTGCGGGACTTTCATGCCACATCTCCAGTGACTGCCCACAGGGAAGAGAGAGAGTGTGTGTTTATATGTATATGTATAATTATGCCATTTTCTAAATACCGTTTCTTCATCTCTTTTATCAGCTCTAAGAACACTCGGGGTGGCATTGAACCGCTGGGTATCTACCCCCCTCCTGTTTGGTAGCTATATTATCGCCGCCACCGCCGCCACCACCTGACCCCACCGCTCCCGCTCGCTCCCACGTGCTGTAACTAACTAATTAACGGCGATGACGACGACGACAACGATTTTTCAATCGTAAAAGATGAACACCCTCAACGCGGGGCTATGGACCACGTACGGCATTGCCGTACTAGATCCGTACATTTACCTACCGAACGGCATAGGGCTGGCGCTATCTATACTGCAGGTGGCGCTGCGGCTCATGTTCCCGGCTCGCACGTCCTCTTTGCCCAGTCACCAACATCATGCGTAAGTAAGGTAACAGGCGCGCCGCGTTGCAACCGCGACTAAAAAATTGACCTACTAAGCTACCCACTACCAACCGGCCATGGCAGGGCTGGGCTGACCCTCCACCGCCGCCTTCTCCTCCTGCGCTAGCACCTCGCCTTCTTCTACAACACCATTATTACTGCTGAAGTACTTCTACCAGCACTGCTCATCCTGAGCAGCTCCGACGAAGACGTTCTCCTCCTCTGGACTTGGGACCTCCAATAGGAGGCCCATCTCCATCTCAGAGTGTTGCTGCCAAAGCCGCGGCATGTGTACCAACCATACATAACACGACATCCACCCCCACACCGCCGGCCCTCTTCCTGTGTCCTCCCCACCCTCCTTCCCCTCCTCCTCCTCCTCCCCATTGCATGCATGTATCTTTTCGGCCGCGACGCGGCCTCGTCCCCTGCTACACGCCTCAGGCCCTTCCCCCCTCCCACCCGACCCGTCATCCCCGGCCCCGATATGCAACGCAACAACACCGAACGCGACCCGCTGCTCAAATCCGCTTCTGCTTGCGCTGATGTCATGATGGATGGCGGCAACAACAACAGCGGCGGAGGTGGCGGCAGCGGCGGTAGCGGGAAGTACAGCCGGCTGGATGAGACTGTGAGCCTGGCCGGGTCGTCTGGGCCTCGGTGAGAGCGTGCGACGTGCAGCGAGCGCCTCCGCGAACATTTTCGCGGAATGTTCGCGACACCCGTTACCCGTTTTCGTCGGTGTAGGTAATTTCTGCTGATAAAAGTGGTGGTGATATTGTTGCTGGTGGTGAGGATGAAGGTGGTAGTTGTGGTTGTGTTATGGGAGGTGTTTGGGGGGTATGACTCTGTTGTCCCGCGTGCTCGCGGCTACGAGAAGCAGAGCAAGGAGGGGAGTCATTGCTTTGAGAGCTGCGTTTAATAAGGGAAAATAAAAACGGTGAGGGGTATGGCGGTACGGGCTCCTCCCTATCTCCGGCGTGTCTGGCGTGCTTGGATGCTTGGATGTGTATGCCGCTGTCAGTCGGTTCATGGCCATGCACGGACACATACGGCGGCTAAAACGACGTACACCCCACAGGGTAGAGGTGTGGAGGTGCATGAAAGCTGTACTCATTGACACGTAGAAACAAGCTCCACCCAAGTACATGCATATGCTTACGTACATATACACACGCACACAGGTTTATGCGTGTACGTTGCGTGTGGTGGCATTGGCAGTGACGGGGATATGCCTGAAGGCAAGGAGGATGACAAGACGGTTGTGCGGCCTTGCATGGGGGCTGTTCCTTAACTGTTTGGATGCCCTTGCTCCGGAATCCGTTTATCCTATTACTTGCGTTCTGCTCCTTGCCCGTCATTCCTGAGCTCGACGTGTGATTCCCGAGCCTGTGTCATGCGGGCTTTTGTGGAGTGTGGGTCTTCAGTTGTCGGCCTATTGAGGTGTCCTCTGGCGTTCATATTGGCACAGCTGCGGCGGCGGTAGTGGTGTGCTCTGGTAGTCGTGGGGGTAAGTCCAAGGTGATGTTGGGCGTCTAGAGAAATGTAGTTGGGCGTCTGGAGGAGGGAGCGGTGCCGCAGATACGAGCTTTGTTTGTTCCTTAGGTGAATGTCCATAAAACAATTGAGACATTAAAATCAAAACCACCGACAAGACGGCGAAACTCACTGTCTTGCCTTCATCAAAAGCCCTCCGACGGCCCTACTTCCTCTTTCTTACGTCGCCTTGCCTCTCTTAACTCTTTGTCGGCCCCACTGTTTTTACCGGCCGGCACGGCACTGTTTATAGTGTTCACAAAGCCGTATTAGCCACTCCAGCTGGCGATGCCCGTATACAGCTGCGCTGCAGCCATCAAAAAACAGCAACATCTGTTCAATTCAACATCCACTATCGTATCATTTACAAAATTCCACTCATCTGATTTGTAAAATTCAAATATTACAAATTTCAGGTTACCTGAAGAATTTTTACCGCGCAGGGGCTTTTGAACCGGAATCTGGCGGCAGCTGGCCCGCCAGCTGCAACAGTCGCCTCATAACGCAGACCGCCCGGCCAAAGTCCCCCACCGACACCCGCTCATTAAGGCCGTGAACTCGGTGGCCATCGCCTGCTGTTCGGTTGAGCGATACAGGCGTCTGACGCAGCGCGCCTCCTCGGCTGATGGACAGGTAGTGCTTGGAGTCCGTCCCTCCTAGTGCAGGCAACAACGGAACGAAAGCATGGGGGATGTGGAAGACGACGGAGTTTGGAAAATGCTATCTTACGTTTTTATTCAAAAGTCGGGCATGCACAGCACTCACCCAGAAGGCAAACACGCCTGTTGATAAAATTACTTAGGGTTCCCTGCCGTACGGAAGTACGGCATTACACGTATGCGCGCTCACTCACCAGCCATGAGCGTGGGCGCCACGTCCAAGGGTTCGGTGCTGTCAGCCAGCCGGTATACCTGTACGAGCGCGCGAGTACGGCAACGGGAAAAAACGGCTTAGGACCTGTGACGTGAGGAGGGATTAAACAACAACATCATCATCATCTGCTAACCTTGCGAAGAAAAGAAGTACTAAGCATGGTGTACGACAACACTAACACAAGCACACACACACACACACACGCGCGCGCGCCCCCTTCTGACCGCACCTCCTGCAGCGCCGTCTTGAGCATCTGGAAGTACGGGCTCGTGGCGGAGGTGACCGCCGTAGCTAGGCTCGCGTTCTGGCCGCCATCGAGCTCGAATGTCACGTGCGGAAGGTCCCTGGCGGGGGGGGAGCAACGGCACCGCACATTGGCGGCCTCTGTCTGAAGACATCACATGGAAGCCAACCGCTGTGCAGGCGCCTCCAATTCGCGTCAGCTCTCATTTCCCCCCCCAACCCCCAACCGCCAACCGCCTCCACATCCCCACATCTCCACATTCCAAACAATCTTCGCATCCTCGACGCCTCGTGCATCAACCACCATCCGATCCAAACCCCCCCCCGCCACCCGCATCACCGCGGGCCCCTCCTGTAACACCCCCGAACAACGTCATAAAACCCTAAAACCCTAAGAAAACCCCTAAGGAAACCGGCCATTAAACCCGCCCACCTGCCCGCCGCCGCCCTCAAGTACTCCAGGACCGTGGAGATGTTGCTGCCCGGCAGCAAGCGGAAGTTGATCCGTACGGTGGCTGCCGGGGGCAACACGTTCTCGGCGAACCCCAGGTACAACCAGGTAACCGCAGCCGTGTTGCGAACCTGGATAAGTAAGTAACAACCGGGACAGGCAGCACGCGCGCTCTGTATGAGTATATATACGTACGTATGTATGCATGTATGTATATATATGTGTAGAAGTGTTTGATCTATAACCCAATACCACTAGAGTAGGAAAGCGGAGTTCAAGGCCCCAGTGTACTGTAAAACCCTAAAACCCTAAAACCACCAAAACTCGCCAGCGCCGCGGTTTCAGGGGCGTCCCGGCCGAGAAACGCCTCCGCCACAAACCGCCTCAGGCTGGGCCCGCCCCACCCGGAAGCCGCCAGTGCGAATAAGGCCCCGCGGATCCCGCCCACTGCGGGCGCTGTGGCGGCTAGGAGGGTGGTGACCGGCTCCACGAGGGTCGCGGGCGGGGGCCGGCGGTCTATGAAGGTGACGAGGCGCGCGGCGACGGCGGCGGCGCTGCTGCCGTCCAAGGGCGGAAGGGAGGAGTGGCCGCCTGCGACAGAGATGAGCGCCTGGGGGTGCGTGTGTTGAGGCGGGAGACAGGGGGGGGACAGGGGGCACCGACAAAGCACCCTCTCAGGGCAGAGGAGGGTAAGGAGGGAGGGAAAGACGAACCAACCACAGACGCGCGAGTGGATGCTGATAAACCAAAGATTGACGGATGCTCCCACCAAGATTAGACAGATGCTGCATCAGGGCATTGTAGGAAGTTACCGACAAGCAGTGACTTGGAAAGAAGTCGAATCGCAGCGACGTGGCCCGACGGATAGATTAAGGAATGAGCGGCTAAGGAGCTGACAAGCCCTGGGGAGAAAAGGCGTAATGATTACATAGCCGCCGAGTCTAAAAGAACGGCGTAAGAAGGGCGTAAGGAACGAAGAAAGGCGACTACCGGGGAATGGAAAAATGTTGGGGGGGGGACGGAGAAGCTTTGGTGCTGGATTGGACATTGCGGGAGGGGGTGGGGGGAAAAGAGGGGGAAACAACGGGTTTCGCAAACCTAAAACCTTGACATGGGCATCAAGTGGTAGCAGTAGCACACATCCCATTTTCCCCTCCTGTACATACATACAGACGCACATTAACGGTTGCAAAGCCCTTTTCCGCAGTTCCGATGAGCGCGAGGGGCCGGGAGCTGTACGGCCGGAATCCATCGGATGCAATGGATCCACCCTCGTCGTACACCATATCTACCTGTCCAGGAAGGGAGGAAATAGAAAAAGAGGAGCTGGGGACTTTGTAAATCCTTGTCTACAGACGAACAACAGTGAAATGTTACGATTCACGTGGAAAACGTCTGCTGAGGGACGGGTTTTTCCCTCTTCCCCCCCCCCCCCACACACACACAAGGAGACAGGTCAACGTTCAACGGCTCCCTAACCACACGCTGGACCGACAGACATGTTTTGCTATCTTTTTCCTGATTTATGCCGATTTGTGATCAATATGCAACTAGCGGACATCCGCTGTTGTGGCTGGCGATCAACACTCTCGCCAACACTCATCAGCTACCTCAAGGTACGGCGTCAGTACGGCAGCGAAATGAGGACGCCATCTGGGGATTTTATCCTCCTATCAACCTGACCAAACCGACCAAACGCGATCCGCCAAAAGGAAATCATGGGATGCAAACAAGGTGTGTATGAGGGGGGGGAGGGGGAAGAGCTGTAAGAGGAAAGCGCGTTCGTTTACACGTACCATGACGCCGCGTTCCGCCAGGAGGTCCGCTATGCGAGCTGCGGTACGGCGGCCGTACGGTGATGCACGGCACATGGAAGGCACAATTGGGGAAACGGGGGGGGGAGAAGAAGTGAGGAGATGACAGCCCAGGAACCGGAGAGAATGGTAGTTGGCTGGTGGAAACGGAAAAGGTTTCGGGGAGGGTTTGAGGGTTCGGATGCTGGACGGGGATGCCGTACATCACGGCAGCTGCGGAGGGGCGCATACGGAGTCACAAAGTCCCACACATGTCTGTCTGTATGTATGTATGTATGTGCTCACCGAACACACCACAAAATCACCGAATCCCCCACCACCACCACCCCGCGCCAAACCTACCCGCGCCCAGCTCCCCGCCAACCTCCTCGTCGTGCCCGAATGCGAAGTACACAGTGCGCTGAGGTCGCCAACCCCCCCGGAGGAGCAGCGTGGCCGCCTCCAGGAGCGCCGACACGCCCACCTGCGACCCACCGTGTGTGTGTGTGTGTTTTTCCTGGGCCGATGACGTGTTTCGTGTCGAGAGGGAAACGATGGACCGGATACACACACGCAGTATCCTACCACTACAAACATAAACCATGATATTACAAACCCCATTCACCCTAGCCCCCCGCTTGTCTCCCTCCCTAAACCCCCGAATCCCTCCCCCCCAACCCAACCTTCCCCCTGTTCGCACCTCCTTTTCCCCCCTGCCCTTTCCCCCCTAGCTGCCG